GGTTGACAGGTAAATAATTAATCAGTTAATAGTTGCAGCTCTATAACAAAAACAATTCCCACCTACCTCTACTAGTACCCATGTACGTAGTTTTGGTTAAATCTGTGCAGGTTTGTAAGATTATCTTCCTCTTCCTGTTGTTAAGACTCAAGCAGTCAACAATATGCAGCCTGATGAAGTGAAGACTCGTGAAATTCTCATCTTGTGTGTGATGGTGCACAGCTACAGGATGTGCATATTTATGGGGATATATGTGTGTGTGTACATGAAGTATATGGTTTATGTGCATGTATCTGTGATTTGCATTTGCTCCTCTGTTATTTATTGCACTTCAGTTGTTGGGTGTCGAGAGGGTGGGGAGCGGAAATAAACGCACTGACATTAGATCAGCCTAAATGTTGACATGAATCTTACCAGGCGACAGCGAGCATCACTGCCAACACCGCCGGTGTCAGTAGCCAACTAGGAAATACACGTGTGTTTGTCCAAACCTCTGAAAGCCCACTTGGCCTCAGGGCCTGCTGGCAACCATCACAGTGTGTTATATTAGTGTGTATGTATACATACAAACAGGAAAATCAGAGCTAAGTCGGAGAAACAACACACCGTACCAACAGCGTACACACTTGCTTGTTTGTGGATTCCCTGCCACATTATGAATTTTTCATTGTTATTGAAGTAAATGAGGCATCTGGTTTCTGTTTTTATTTATCTGCTGCTTCTTCTGTCACAAAACTTGGAATGGGTGAGAATTTAGATTGTACTGATGTTGAACAGCCATAATCTGTACAAGTGTGAGAAGGCTGCTTCACAATTACAGGACAGATGACTTTAGTGTATGGGTTTAAATAAACCTGTCTTGGATGTGTGAAAGAGTGTGTTGATGTGTTACTATGTTGGATTATTTACCTGAGACTACAGTACATGTTTATTCGGAGCGTAGCTGTTAAATTACTCTAATGTCAGTAGAAGGTGCTAATGAAATGGTGAAATAGTGTAGACAGTGTTTGTGTGTGTGTGTGTGTGTGTGTGTGTGTGTGTGTGTAGTCAGCAGCTGTTGGGATTTGCTTTTTGAAGTTTTCTATCTCCTTAACATGTTGTCATAAAGGCAGATGATGCAAGAAATGCTGTCTGGCTCTGACTTGCGGCGTTTATCTTATGCTGTAATGAGATTCCAAGGCTGTGGTGTATGTAGTTTATGTTTGCATGCATATGCGCGCACATGTGTGGTGTCACTGACTACTTTTACGTGCATACAGATATCCCTGTATTATTCAGAATATGACAGTATTCTGAATTTGATACGGGTCATGTAAACCGCATATTACATTTAAATTAGGGCTGCAGCTATAGATTCTTTTAGTAATCGAGTATTCTGTCGATTATTCTGCCGATTAATCGAGTAATTGGATAAGAAATACTTTGTGTTTTAATTAAATTACTTTGGCTTTATTTAAGGGCAATAGTAATATATAAAAGAGCAAATAATAAAAGTCTGAAATGAGATAAATGAGCAACGAATTTGTTCTTGCTCAGCTAAACTTGGAAAAACGCTTTGCACAAAGCTACCCAAAGTAAGACTCTGTGACTTAAGAGCATGATTCATGTTTTTTTATTGGTATTTATTATTGGGCGTCATAAATATGTACTTTCAGTTCCTGTGACTGGGTAGTTTAGACTCATTCACTGTGGTTAAAGGGTGCCTTAAGCCTTGCTGACCCTACTGATTGCAATCCAAATTGATATACCTGCTGTACTCGATTTGTGCATTTAGGTTCCATTCTCTACTGTGTGTGTCTGAGAATGATTGGGGAGTTGCATGTGTCAGTGAGTGCGTGAATGAGTGAGTAAGGGGTGCGGGTGTGTATGAAGCTCAGACTTAAACAAATTGACAGCATTTTATTTTCCCTGTGTTGCTATTTTCTATAGCAAAACTTGGATAATAGGCATGATACATCGCCAGGTAATGTTAGCCACCACACTGATTTCTGTTACTACTTAGCCATTGTAAAGCCATAATACACGTACATTCTTTACACGCGTTAGGAATCTCTGCTAGCCATCACTGATTAAGGTTAAATGCAATCAAACAAGACGTTAATGTACCTTATTGTGTCGGGTCTGTTCGGCAAACTTGATGCATACACTGGAGGTTTTCTACTCAGATGTTGAGTTATGCTAATTCTGTTTTGCAATACACACTGATCCGTAGTTGCAATCCACGCTTCACATCAACGTTACAGCTGTGTAGGCTATCAACAGCAAAAGTAACAAGTGCTTGTGCATCAGAAACAACCATTCATGTGAAGCACAGCACACTGTATATGTGTACTGGATAATTTACTGGATTTACCTCAAGGCTTTTTAGTAATTGAATTGTTGGTGTTACTCGAGGAATTGTTTCAGCCCTTATTTGGATATTCCAAATTAGGCCTTTTTTTCAAATGTAGCATTTTCAGATTGATAGATGTGGTATGCTGGTATAATTCTGGTTTTCGGGAGCATTCTTTGGACATGAAAATAGCACATTTGGAACATGTGTCTCAATTGGGATTTTTACAGCAGCCAGTTTGCAATAAGCTCTGTGTGTTGTCATGGATGCGTTGTACACAAACCAAGTAGCCAACCGTTTGCAAGGCTGGGGTAGAGATGGACGCCTGAAATAAAAGCCCACATTTCTGGTGAGGAAGGAGACACACCTAATTTTTAAATGTTATGAAAGGCTTGGATATCAACAAGTTTTTGGATATGCGCAAATATCGCATCGCAGACTTTTTCAGGATGGTGGTTGAAGGAATGAAAGAGGGAAGTTGTGTTTACACAGTCAAACAAGTTCGCCACCCGTGGAAAACTTTGAAAAAATCCTGCTGTGATGCAAAGGCACAAAATGGCACAAGCAGCTCCAGCTGTTCTGTTTTTCCATATTTTGATGTGATAAACAACATGTTGGGGCATGTAATCAGAGTATACACAGCTGCAGTGAAACCATAATATAAGTGGAATATTCATTTTCATTAGCCATGTACACAGCTCAGTAGGAATATTGTGTTTTTTAGAATAAGGGCATAAACTGGAATATTTTCTGCATGCAGCACTAACCTTAAATGTGCTCGCATGTATAAGGAAGTATTTTACTGTCAGTATTTGGGTTCAGGGTTTCAAACACTCCAGTGCATTTTAGTTGTGATGCTGTGGGTGTATGTATGCATGTGCACAATCCTATCACCATATGCCACTATCAGTGTAGATCTGTGTCTTCAAGATTCAGCTTAAGTCGCCATGTTAGGTCATACTCCGGTGCCTCCCATGCCTTCATTTCCACAAACCAGATCAAATTTATTGTCCCTATTGTTCAAGTGTATTAACTGGAAGAGATGTGATTAAAAATGGATGGCATCTCTCTTTGCTCTCCCACTCATTTTCATACTCCAAATACGACCCTTCGTTCTTAGGAAAATGAGATTTGGAAGAGCAAACACACACACGCACCACCTCTTCCTTCCTCTCCTCCACCACTGAACTCACTCACCCTGTTTGTCATTTATCTATAATGACTTTGTGAATAGTGTCACAGAGCGTTCCCTTCTCTCTCACCACGCAGCCATCCAGTCAGTCACTCAGCCTAACCCAATCAAGTGGCTTTTAATGAACTTCAAACAAGTGTTATCACCCAGTTCAACGTGCGCTATGCTTCACTCCCCCCCAGCTCCATCCATGCGGGGGCTCACCTTATCTGCTCTCCTTCTTTTCACCCTCTTTCCTTCTGCCTCTTTGACATGCTAAAGCTCCTCCTGTCGCATATGCTTAATGGTATTTTTTTGCCTTTTTCAGTTACTCTGTTCCTTTTGTTGTTCCTCTCTCATTTTGCCTATTTCGCTCTCTCTCTCTCTATCCACCGCTCTTCAGCGAAAACATGAAACAGTTTAGGGAAGTGCTGTTCTCTATTTACTATCTTTACCCTCCTTTACCTCCCTCCTCACCTTTTACTTCTGCTTGTCAGTCACTTTCCTGTTCTTGCCATTGCTTTTTTTTTACCTCTTGTCCTCCTCTGTTTGTCTTTCCTTTTCTTCTCTCTGTCCATCTCTACCCCTTGCTCACATGTCCTCCCCCTCTGTCTTCTCCTCTTCATCTTTCAGGGAAGTCAGAGGTGCTCTATATTTAGCCAGCTACTCACACCTGAATTGATTGGCTGTTAATTTTAGACCTCCAATTGCTAAGTGACTCACCCCCCCTCTCTCACTCTCTGTCACTCATTCTTGCTTAATTGCTGCACAGGCAGAAGTCAACCTCATTTTTGATCCATCAGTGACATCTCTTCTCCATTAACAAAAACATGCAAGCTACAATCAACATACAAATACAAACCGAGAGCTCATATCGTTTCTGTACAAGTGTCTGTTTCAGTGTATCATTAATGCTCCTGTCCTACGGGTAATGACGATGGAGTACCTGTTGAGCTGGCCCTTCACTCATAGTGAATGTGAGCAGGTCTTAGGACTGTCTAACCAAGAGACTCAGCTGATCTCAACCTAGCAGGCATGATCACAATAAAAGCACAGAAACACTGAATGGGCACACACTGAAGTGGCTATTTCATATAATTAAACTAATGTTGGTGAAGTACAGGGTGATCTGCTACTTGATAAGATCTGATAGCCCAGTCCTTTGCATACAAAGACTGGCATGCAAAGGGCCAGATTTACATGTGTGACAGAGGAACTCAAATGGTTTGTTGTCGTCAGTGTGCTTGCAGAAGTTAGAAGTGTCCTAAAAAATGTCCTAACATTTATCCCTTCTTATGTTCAAATCTATTAAGGAGTGCTGTACTTCAATTTGTACCTCGGGCGCAGGCAAACTGCATTTCTAATAACACTCAGGTGCAAAATGACATTGCAGGATCTCCCGGAGTAACATTAAACTAATTGCAATTAAGCATTAAACCTGATTAGAAGACATAGAGTAACATGCTATCCTCTTTTCTCTTTTCCTCTCTCCTCCAGGGGTGTCCCCAGCTGCTGCCTGCAGACAGGATCCTGGTGCCAGTCAACGTGGTAAAGCCCATCACCCTACGGGCCAAGAACCTCCCCCAGCCGCAGTCTGGACAGAGGGGGTACGAGTGTCTGCTGACCATCCAGGGAAACGAGCACAGGGTTCCCGCCCTGCGCTTCAACAGCTCCTCAGTGCAGTGTCAGAACACATCGGTGAGGATGAGTGTGTGCATGCGTGTGTGTTTTACTTGCCTAAGCTATCATCGTTGACCACTATGCACCCACACACCAACACAATCTCTATAAAAACGCCCCATTTCTATAAAGTTTTCCTATAAAAGTGACCATAATATTTTTTCATACTCTCATAAACATATACAGACACACACACACACACACACACAGATTCCAGTTGAGGGTTTTTCTGCTTCTAGCCACGCAGTGGGTAGATGAGACAAGGGCCTGACTTTGTCTCTCCCGCACAGCCATCCCAGCGATCGTGCTCCATTCGCTGACTGAATAATACATTGACAGCAATGAAAGACTAGCATGAAAAAGGCTTTATGCTGGTCTTGATGCTAATCATCTGTTGATACAATAACATCTCATCTTCCTGTCTATCTTCATCACTCTGGGTGTGTGTGTGTGTGTGTGTGTGTCAGTGTCTGTGTGTGGAGATGTCTGCAGGATTTGTGTGTTTAATCACAGCACAATCCAAATATTGTACTTTGATGGAGCAGTGAAGAAGGGAAACTGTAATTTAGCGGAAAATTATGATTCTAGCACCAACCCATCCATGCTGCTAGTGTTACAGAAACAAATGAAAAATAATCTCGTCTTTGAAAGCTCTCTGCTGTGTAGAGTGTGTGTGTTTGTGAATTCAGTGTGTGTGAGTTCATGTGTGTATTCACCGTGTCTCCAGCCACCTGCTGGCGATGCATTTTGCATTCAAAGGAGTATTGTTATACCAGAGGCTTTTGGACTTGGAGATAATAGACAGTTTAAAGTAGCTCAACAGCTTCTCTCTCTCATACTCTCTTCCCCGTCTCTCCCTCTTCCCCTCTCTGGTTGCCATGGTGATAGTATTTCTATGATGGGATGGAGATGAGCAGTCTTCCCGTGGAGCTGACCGTCATCTGGAACGGAGATTTCAGCATCGACAACCCCGCCCACAACAAAGGTGAGCACGCACAGAGGCACGAGCATGCGCACACTCAAGCGCTTGTGCACACACACACACACACACACACACACACACACACACAGACGCACACACGTATGAATCCATATCAGCTCTTCCCATAGTTCTCGCAGTATCACACGAAACCACGCGCGCACATACAGTCGACATAGTCTCATAAACTCTCACTTAAACACACACACATATAGACACAAACACACAGTAAAGCTGCTGCTTCCACATTGTTGCCCTTGGAGCCGGTCTCCATGGCAACAGGCGGGCGGTGTGCTGAGGTGCAGCATCCGTCCCCTGATGTTGCCATGTAGAGTGGTTAACTTTAACACATCCTCTCTTACGCTCTCCTTCTGTAGGTCTCTTTCCCCCTCGCGTCCCGCTCCATTTGTCCGTCTGTCTCTCCCACACTCCGCCATCGTCCGTCTGTCTCATCTCAACTCTCTAAATTCCATTTTCTTGCCTCCTCACAAACATTATTTCTTCTCAGCTGTTTCTCTTATTTGCTCTGTCAACACCTCTCTGGGAGTTTGGCAATCTATCCATCTCTGTCGCCAGTGCCGCTCTCCACCGTTCATTTCATTTTTCTCATCTCAGCAATTCAATGTGCTTTACTGGCAGACATTTCAGAAGAGTGGTGATGGAAAAACATGTAGATCCAGCTGGAAAATTACTAATAAATAACCAACAATAACAAAAATTAAAGGTGGAATTATGTATCTAAGCAAGCAAAGCTAAATTATTACTATTAAAATAGGTAGCATTTGATATTTATTGCTGCATCTCATATTCATTTCTGTCCAGCTCTCCATCCACTCATGGTATATGTGGAATGACAGCTCAGTGCTGAATTTTTAAGCTCTCAGCTTTCAGCTGCTGAGCTTGATTCAGTTTGGCCACTGGTGATCCAAGACTGTGAGTGATCCATGCTGGGGCAGGAAATCAGCGGCACGCTGGGGGTTGTAGTTCTCTGACAGGAAAACAACTCATTTTGACCTAAGGCAGCGGAGTCAGGCGTAAGAAACATATTGTTAAAATATGGATGATATGCCAACATGACACTGTGCTGTGAGGCAAAGTTTGTACAGTATTTGTGTGGGTTTGTGGTGGTGGTGCATGTGTCTGAGTCAAGTAACAAAACATATCCTTGAGCATAAGTGTAAAATCAAAGAAGCAACAAAAGTTAGAGATAGAGAGGGCGATGCTTGAACTGGAGAGTCCTCCTCTGCCATCTTCCTACCTTTGTTTGCCTGCGCAGGAAGCAGCTCCTAGGGCATCATTTGATGGACAGATCACACATGCATCTAATGGCAATTAAAAAGAAAATGGCTGGCCCGTTGCCATGGAGATGATATGTTAAATGTGTGGTGAATGAGCAGAGGCGAGAGGCAGCAGTGTAGGAAACTCAAAGCGAGACAGAGGGAGGGAGTATATAGAGATGATGATAGATGAAGAAATAATGAGACAGAGATCAACGAATGTTGCTCTGAAAATGCTCAGTTTGTTGTTCGCATATTCAAACAGCAGCTGACAGACACTGAGAGATTTGGGTAAACAACCCAAATTTTAGTTTGTTGTGTGTTCTGAAGTGTTTGTCCGTCATTTTAGAGGCTTTTTCGCAAAATAAATTTGCATGCATTTGCTGTTCTGTAATCATTTGTACAAAGGTTGCTCAACACTCTTTCTCCCTCTGTCGTTACCTTCTTCCTTCCCTTCCCCCTTGTTTTCTCTCCCTGCTCCTCTCTGTCTCTTTCCTTCCTCCTGCACAGTCCATCTGTACAAGTGCGACGCCCAGCGTGGAAGCTGCGGTTTGTGTCTGAAGGCAGACCCGCTGTTCGGATGTGTTTGGTGTAAAGGAGAGAACCGCTGCACCCTCAAACAACATTGCCCCCACCCTGAGAACCAGTGGCTGGAGCACAACGGCATCAACAGCAAGTGCACCCACCCACGAATCACACAGGTGCGACACACACCAGGACACGGATGCATCACATATGTCTGCACATTCAGTCCATACTTTATGCACAAGCCAAGCAATGCCAACATTAATGGCTTTTACCTCAAAGGCCATACATGCACACACACAAATAATTACAGGGCACTGATGGGAGCATACTTGTACTCATCACCTCCGAGACAGTGTGGCAGTTGATCATTTCAACATAATGGCAGAGGCTGTGAGTCACCACAAGCTATTCAGTCTGACAGCATTTGTGAGGAAAGATATATTTTACACCCTTTCACAATGCACTTACAAATCTCTCTCATCAGAAGTTTGAACCATAATGATAGTACAATTGATGTGGAAAAACTACTCATGTCAGTCTTCATTTTGATGAATAATGAAATCAATTCAGTGAAGCTCAGTTTGTCTTACTTGAATATATATGTATAGAAACACATATCTGAATTTGGAGAAACCTCTGGCACAGCACACTGGTATGGATAGAGACATACCAAAGCCTTGAAGTACAGAGCAAACATTTCAGCCCTGTACAGTGTCTCTCCTCCATTATTCAGATCCTCTTGTCATAGGGGTGGGCTACATGGGATATAATGATTATATCCGATTGTTCCACATGGGATGTATAAAATTACCATGTCACAAACATCGAGTGTATGTTGACATGATACTTGCTTCTGGCAGTTGGGTTCTCATGGTCTTTCCTGTGGCTCTCTCCCACTTCCACACACACAAAAAAGACACACACTCCCCACTTTCCAATCCAGACCGCTCTCTCCTGGCCTATCATGTGTGAGCAGACGAGGTGCGTGTTTTTGTACATGCAGAGGTCCAGCCCGCGACTGTTTAGTCTCATTTCGCGAACAACTTGCAAATATTATTGATTTCTGAACTGGGGAGCTGCTAGTTTGTTTCTTACTCACAATGAATAAAGCCTCATGTTTAAGGGCGCCTCTGTAATGGTTAAACTTTCCGCTAACTGCTAACAGCTAACCGTGGACCAGAAGCTTCACGTTTACATTGAAAACATCAATAGTAACGACCTGAGACGAGGCAGGTACTTCAGAATAAAAGCACCAGTGGTTTCCACTTTGATTCATTTTTTGTAACAATACTTTAATGAAGTTAATGATAACAGTACTTAATTTAAATTTATTATAACAGTACTTCATTTAACTTTATTGTAATATTACTTTAGCTATCATTATGATAACAGTACTTTGTTGATATTAATTATGACAGTAATTAATTTCACTTTATTATAACAGTTATTTATTTAACTTTACTGTAACAGCACTTAAATTTATCTTTATTACAACAGTACTTTATTTATCTTAATTACAATGGTACTTTATAATAACAGTACTTTATTTATCTTAATTACAATGGTACTTTATAATAACAGTACTTTATTTAACTTTATTATAACAGTGCTTTATTTATCTTAATTACAATAGTACTTTATAATAACAGTACTTTATTTATCTTAATTACAATAGTACTTTATAATAACAGTACTTTATTTATCTTTATTGAACAGTACTTACTTTCACTTTATCATACCAGTACTTTATTTATCTTTATTATAACAGTGCTTAATTTAACTTTATATAACAGCACTTTATTTATCTTTATTGTAACAGTGCTTTATTTAACTTTATAATTACAGTATTTTTTCATTGAGATCTCAAAATATAGAGATATGATTTTTAAAATGCGTTTATTTATATGCCATATTTCCCAGCCCTACTCTGTCATCGGGTCACCAGACAATAGTCAGACAAAGTGTGCCTGTTATTCAGAAGCATCAAGAAGGTCGACATCGGATCTCCCAGACAGGCAGAAGCCTCTCAAAATAAAACATGCCAAGTGCGAAGGGCACCAATGCTCCGGTCAACCACGTGTCAATGCACAAAATTCTGCACTAGAATCACAATAACAGCAGTTATTTGTTAGGCCTTTTCAGATGTCTACTCTTAAAACTGTAAATGAGCCAGTGCTTATTTTGAATTTACTTCCATCTTAATCTCAATGTGAAAATACAAACACTAGGATAGTCCATGTTACATCCAGAGAAGGATAAATTATCCTTATTCTTGCTGGTTATCTATCAGTCCCGCACAGATGGTCACGCAAACCCCCACTTAACCCAGCATGCTCCTGAAAACCACTGACACCATGTGAGGCAAATGGACTTGACCTGTACAAGACATATAAAAGGGGCAATAGCAGAAGGGATAAGGGTCAGCGAGATGAAGGATAAGAGGATGCAAAGGAAGGATGGATGGAAAGATGCCCAGATGATGGGAGACGAGGATGGATTGGGTTTAAATGAAAGAGAGTTGTTGATGGATGGGTTGGCTGAGCCAGAATAGAGTCATGTTAGGCTGAAGGGGTGGAAGAAGACCCCTACGCCCTCCATATATCCCCATGATGGATTTAAGGTCCTCTCTGCATCTTTTTCCCGAGGACGAGAGATAGGAGCAGATGGCAACTGACTAGAGATGAAGGGATGAAGCAAAGCGTGGATAAAAAAAGACAGAGAGGGGAATCCCTTTTGGCGTCCTGGGGAGTGATGGGTTTGGACAGAGAGCGAGGGAAGAGGGATACAGGAATGGACGGATAATCCCTTCTCTGCTGTCCGCTCTCCACATCATCCTACATAGAATAGACCCGCATACAGATAAGTGGCCGACCTTGGTGGAGATTCACTGACAGCAGCGCTGCAGAAGCTCATTGTTTCTTGTAATCTCGAATGCACCACGAATCTGATCCCCACAGATCATGTAAATCTGCTGTGTTGCAGCACAATTATTTTCCATTAGTTCTTGGATTTTTTCTAAACAAAGGAGGATTATCAGTGGGGCTGGGTATTGATACTCCATACCTCTAAGGTGTTGATCTTAATAACCCAGGACCAAGTAGTATCAAATTGTCCCCAAGGAAATGATACCTGCAATCATCCTTATTGCTCTGGGGGTTTGTACCTGGAGTGTTCCAACCTCCCGCTGGATTAGCACACTGTCTGTTGCTGCCATCTCTAGAGCAGTGATTCCCAACTGGTCCATCCACGGGGTCCAGATTTCTCCTTTGTCATTAGGTCAAGGTCCCACAGTTTGATATATTCATTGTCATACTTAAGTTTGGCCATGTCGTCAAGCTAGTTTGTGGTCTCTGTCAAGTAGGTGTCCGTTAGCCACTCACTCTACAGCCTGGAAATGGTGCTTCAAAATAAAAGCTCTGTGCCTGAAACTCATTGTACTTCAAAATAAAGTGTGGTTTTAACAAACTTGACACATTCGTGAGTCTCCTGGGCCAACAGTCAATTGATAGTCTGCCCGATTAGCACAAGCTAACACAGCAGCAGCGACTACTATCCGACACAGAGCTGTTAAACAGTCCCGACAAACTTGTCTCTGGAGCTGCTCTCCTTGGCAGACATTCAGTTCAACATCTGCCCAGTCAACACAAGCTAACATGGGCAGCCCAGCGCCAAGCCGTTGAACAGTCACAACAAGCTAACGTTGGTAACATTAGGCATGTGATGTGAGCTCCCGCAGCAGCAGCTACAACCCATACAGTCTGTGGTGTGGTGAAGTCAATTGTGGTGTGTTTGACGGAATTGGCAGCTCAGCATGCCAACCTTATTCACATTATGGGTGCGAATGATGTACTCCATTGATATCTGTATCATTTTTAGGGTACTGGTATCAAAATGTTTTAAAAGATACCCAGCCCTAATAGTCAGACAGAGAAAAATGAACACGAGAGAAAAGTCTGGAATCTTTGGACACTGATGATGTAGGTGTCTGAAAACAGGAGACTTAATTACGTTCCCCTCTTCTCATTGATAATCCAACCTGCTCTGATTATTTTTATCCTGGCAAAATCAAATCAGCTCTCGAGGATGGTGATGAGAAGATGGTGACATTTTGTCCCTTGTTGTGCTTATTAAAGAGTCTGGATCAGTGAGGTGCGCTCTATCATTTCTCTACTCCACTGTTTGTCTTCACCCCATGTGGTGGATTTATTCTTGGAGATGGTCCCTGTATTTCTCCTTACATCCCTGAGGCTGCAGCAGGGACATATTGCAGCCTTCTCACGTCCCCCATAAAAACTGTCAGTGGGTGAGGAGTGAAGACTTTTCCAAGACGACCGGGGCTCTAATGCATTCTAATACGCTTCATTATAATGACATCTCCCATCAACAATATGAGAGGGAGAGACTCGCGTAGAAAGATGGAAAGAGAAAGGGAGAGAGAGAGAGAGAAGTGATTAAGTGTTTGCCTCTACCCAACCGTCAATTATCTTGTCAAAGTCACAAATCTAATCAACGCCTCATTGCATCTAACCCCCCCTTCTCTCTCTCTTTCATTCTTTTGCCTCTTCCTTCTCCTTCACTATTTCTCTTTGACTCTTTGTCCCTCTCCATCCTCCACATTTACTAATAAATGGAGAGCCAAGATGCATTGTGTGCAATCTTTTTAATTGCATGTATTGTCGCCCTGTTCCCAGAAGGCTGTTTTTTTTCATTAAGATATCAGCAGGGAGTCTTATTAATCAGAGACATTGAACCATACTATAACGATATCTCCCACATGGCAGCCACAGGACTTGTATTGTGTATGACCTGGCTTGGGCTCGCCTCTGTCATTCGATTGGCAAGATCCTTTCAAGCCCAGCTTGTTCAATTTGTTTTAGTCCACTTCTTTGAAAAATAATCAAATTAAAACGATGCTCATGTGGTAGTAAAATGAGGATTATCATACCGCAACAAGCATGTGAGCTTCAAGCCAGAAGATGAAGCCACACACCCACACTCAGCACTCTACCTGAGCACCGCAGGGGGTCACGCTGCCAACTGTAAACAGAGCAGAGAAACAATGAGAGCCTCAACCTCACTGAAAATCCTTGGGATCACAATTTTTCAGGGGGATGGTGACACAGCATCATTAAAGCTGGGCCCCTCTCTGCAGCATGCAGCATGGAGGACTTCTATCTGACAGAGACAGATAGAAACAGACTATTCTGTGTCCGTCTCTAACATCCATCCATCTGGGCCGGCCTGATGATGTGTACACACACATACACACACACACACACACACACACACACACACACACTGGCCCAAAAGTAATTGTGTGAGTAAAGTGTTGATGGGTGCTGGAACCGCCTCATCAACAATGAGAGATGTTACTGATAAATCAAAAGACACTGTGATTACTGCAAAGATGTCACCCAATGCCAAGTTTTAAGTTAATCTTATGTAATATGTCATCATGGTTTTCAGTGAATGCAGGATTGAGCAATGACAGTCCCTTGACCCTGAGTGTTGACCCCTGAGCTGTCACCGGAGCTGTTATTTTGTCGTTAATTGTCTCTTTTCAGCAGCCGTCCCCCTCACCCTTCAGCAAAGTCATTTTTTCTCTGAGAGTTACATCATGTGTGAACAGTAAACACTTACCACTTACTCCCAGTGAATGTGGAAATATTAAATATGGATATGTGGCTATTATTCTTTACCTGTTTGTCCTTCTACACCTCAGCTGTCTTTATCGCTTTTTGTTGTCCAGACAGTAGTTTGGCGTTTAGTCCCTATGCTTTGTGGAAACCAATGAATAGCTGCTGACTAACTTCACATTGCTCGGTCAAGACTGTTATTGTGATTCCTGTGCTGCTGGCTCCCATTCATTTTTATTTCTGTCCCATTCAGTCAGGTAATGAATAGTGCAGGAATCCCCTAGAAACCCTGTGACCCACAGATTTCCTGAAAAAATGTCACCCTCTTATCCAGATGAGGTTAAAGATACACTATGCAGGATAGTCAGTTACTGTTTGTAAAACACGCTTGTCGGTGAAAAACCATCCCTACAGTCAATTTCATTTGGCGTTTCGCTTTGCTATATTTAGGTTTTTCAGCACTGTGTCTCTTGGATGCCTGCTGCTTACAGTCTGGCGCCTAGTCACTACTTTTTTATAAAGTCCTGACCTCACTTGAGCTCTGTGCGGGGACACGCTCATAAAAATCTGAACACAGAAAATAAGAAAATACAGGCAGAGGGCAGAATCTCTGCAGAAAAACACACCACGACCAGTATTATGCATTAGTTACACGTACCTCCCTCAGAAGTTATGGAATTACTTCACTCAGTACTGCATATAAATGGTAAATGGACTGTATTTGTATAGCACTTTTCTAGTCTTCCAACCACTGACAGAGCATTTACACTACATGTCACATTCACCCATTCACACACAGTCGTACACTGGTGACTAAGGCTAAGTAGCAGGTGGCACCATTCACACACCGATGGAACAGCCACCAGGAACAGTCTGGGGTTCAGTATCTTGCCCAAGGACAGACAGGAGGAGCCACATGTCGCACAGCCACAGCCGCCCCTATAAATAAATTAAAGTATATAAAAGTTTCTAGGTGAAGTAACCTATTAAGGCAAACAAAGCTATATTATTCTAGTGTTGCTGTGGCACAGTGTGGGACAATATAACTGTCAAATTTTATCTATGATTGTACCCATTATCACTATGATAAAAACTAAGTTGTGGAACAATAAAACAGGATATGTCTTGATAGGCCTGTTTACTGGTGCCTTAACAGCCCATCAAATCGAGCAACGCAAGTCAGTTTTATGCTTTTGCTAGAGTTAAATGAAATAACAACTGTTTCTCAGACATTTGACATTAAATTCTTAACACAATAGGCCTAATGAAAACACACTAAGGTTTCTTCTTGACAGTAATCAGATCCAGACTACAGCAGGCCTAATTTGTCCTTGATCTCGAGAAGGGAATTGTCTTCTGCCCAGTCACACCTCATGTTGTCAGCAAAATGCTCAGTGCAGTGACCTAATGCTTGTTTAGTAAATCAAACAAAATCACATCTCCAAATTTTTACTTCAACAGATCACACCTCTGCGGGGCCCCAGGGAGGGTGGCACGCTCGTGACTATTCGTGGCGAGAACCTGGGGCTGGAGTTCAGAGAGATTCAGGATAACGTGAAGGTGGCCGAAGTGGACTGCACACCCATACGGGAGGGCTACATCCCTGCTGAACAGTAAGTCACATTTTATAATGATGGTAGAATATAGCACATTGGCAGCACTATGTGATAAGTAGCACATCCTCACCTAGTCTCATTTTACATTCCTGCAGAGCACTAAGTCCCATTGAGGCAGCAGCTTTCAAAGCACCTATTAATAGCACATATACTCATAATTACAGGTTGTAATGAGCTTTGGTGCACAGTAATTCACCATTTTGTCGACCAAAATGTACATAATATCTATGAATATAGTCTTTAACAGCTGCACTGAAACCATAGGGAGAAGTCAGACTGTATTTTGGAGCAGCAGCAAAGCTAAATCCTGAATTTAGCACAGTGTTTCTCCCTCTCCCTTCACTTTCCATAATCCCCTTGAAAGCACTTTGACCACAGCTGAACACTTAATGCCCTACAGGGAACAAGACACTTGAGTCACACACAGATACAACACTATGTTACCTGTGTTACCCACACGACGGAGCCACAACAAGTCAGCCTGACCAACTGATCATGAGTCAGAGTACTCACCTCAGGGTGTTTGTGTGCATGTGTGTCTGTGTGTGTGAGGCAGCATGAAAGACGGTGAGTGAGTAACACAGCGAGAGAGAGAGAGAGAGAGAGAGAGGGAGAGAGAGAGAGAGATAAAGAGAGAAAGAGAGAGAGAGAGAGACTACGACATGACTGGTAAACAAATGCTAAATTAGCCTAATCCCTAGACCAGGAGAAATTGGAGTTTGATTTAACTTCAAGTCACAGCGGTGCACATAGAGTACAAGACACTTGTATGTATGCTGCTGTGGGCAACAGAGAAAAACTCAAACCTTCATATTTCAAAGTAGCACACACACACACACATACACATAAGCACACACACATTCCCGTAATCATTTTAGAAAGTTCGGGAGGTTAGATTTAGTTGACATTTGAGTTTAATCCAGAGCTTTGGTTCCTTACAGGTGCTGTCTGTCAAATTATTTTAAACTAGTTTAAAGTTGGCTTATCAACAGAGCCAGGGCTTCTTCTGCTAAGAAAGTAAGTTGTGTGCCAGCACTTTCTAAGCAAATGCTGACCCAGCAGAAGAGGCAGCTGTATTTGAGGTCATATGTAAAAGGATGGAGACTTTTTTCCTTTCTCCCACAAGTTGGCAGTGTGCGGGAGGTGAAGTCGCTGCCAAATAATACATTATTTTATTGAGGGTTTAACAAGTTTAGGTCCATTCTTTTTACATAATCGGCTCAGCGTTTTGCTGGCAAGACAAATGTGCAGCAGGGTTTTCTAGAGGTTCTTGTAAAGGCATTTTTGCATGTGGCATTTGCATTTGGGTGTGTCTGTATGTGCATTTCTGCATGTTTTTTTTTCTCTTACATGTTCCACAATTGTGTGTTTTTCCAGGATTGTGTGTGAGATGGGTAAAGCAGAGAAGAGCCAGTATACTGGCAACGTGCAGGTCTGTGTCGGGGTTGGAGAGTGCAGACCTGAATTCATGGCAAAGTCCTCCAAGTACTACTATTTTGTGGTGAGTCTGCTCTTTCAGTATTTGATCTTTTTGTATTAAGGGAATACTCACTCAAAAAATGAACATTGGTGAATCATTTAGTCACGCTGTGTTACCTTGAATTCATGAAGAATACTTTTGTTTTTCTCACATGCCTCCACGGAAAACAGCAAACATATTGATTTATTGATTCATTCGGGACCACATTTAACAACAGCACAACTGTATCACAGCATCCATTTACAGACACACACAACTCCTGCAGTAAAATCCAAGTCTCATTTATCCAGTTATATGCTCAGTACACATGCATTTTCCTTAAAACCTTATTAGGGCTGTAATCAACCAAAGAAAATCTTGGTTGAAGTTCTACCATCTCCTCAAACAAGAATCAATCGATTTCAGCCACAGTGAATTGAGTGCACTGTACTTGGTACCCTTGTGAGTCCACCAAAGCGTCTGTTACCTCCGCCAAGGAGGTTATGTTTTTGCCGGCGTTGGTCTGTTTGTCTGCAAAATAACTCAAAAAGTTCTGAACGGATTTTGATGAAATTTTCAGGAAAGGTTGATAATGGCACAAGGAACAGATTATACAATTTTGGTGGTGATCGGTTGAAGCGAAGTGGATAAAATAATAAAATGGCGGGAAATCCGAGCTGCTTGGCGGAGGTCTGTGCTCTCCGAGTGCTCTAGTGTTTTTTCTTTGTTTTTCCCTGTCACAGAGCTCGACATTAACAGTTGCCCAGGGCAAGTAAACTCTGTGTTCAAGCAGGTGAAATGCCTCGAGTGAAAAACAAAGCAATCTCCAGTGTAATATTATCTGAAAATAAACAGCGCACTGTAATGCTTTTCCTGAGCTGTGTGCAGGAACAGAAGTGATGAAAAAAATCTGACATACTGGACATTATAGAAGATAAATTTGTGGTTGATGATGTCAATATTTCTGTCACAGTGCATGCAAGAGAGACTTGCTATTTTAAGTCCAGAAACTAATGTTAGCCAACAAGGTCTCTGATGTGATCTTATTCCTTTGAGAAGCTTTGTTATCCAGCCTTGAACTGCTGTGCCTCTTTGGAGACTCAGTAAAATAAATTCATAGTGATAAATCCAGCACTGAATGTCTTCAGTAATTATTTACCCCTTTTCAGATTAAAAATCAGAGTTGAAAAATGTTCAGCTTTAGGTAAAATGCTGTGCTCGTCACTGTCACCAGCCGTCTAATCACAGTGGGGAAGGAGTGGGACACATACCACAAAGACCAACTGTCACAGAGGACAAAAAGATGTGCTAAATAACAACAACTGGAAAAGAAACACTTTGGTGGACATACAGCCTTATTAAAGTAACACCAACAATTATCTGACCAATTAGATTTTGGTCAGGCAAGTATATTGACCAACCAAACAATCAACCAACCCAAAGGATGACAGTTCTAAAGTTAATATTTCAAACTAAAGAGTGAAACTCATCTATGCTCTTTTCAAAGCGAGACTCCAATCCTAAGGTTTTAAGTCAATAAATCAGGGGTTTCAGGGACTACAAGGTGACCTTGAGGGAGTTCTCTATAAATTGTCAATTACACACAGGTCCGAAAGATACACACATGCACAAACAGGACCTATACATGCACAAAGTGGAGAGATGTCAGAGTGAGGGGGCTGACCTTTGGTCAGGCGCCTGAGCGGTTGGGGGGTTCGGTGCCTTGCTCAAGGGCACCTTGGCAGTGCCCAGGAGGTGAACTGGCACCTCTCCAGCCACCAGTCCACGCTCCATGTTTGGTCCGGACGGGGACTCGAACTGGCGACCCTCCGGTTCCCAACCCAAGTCACTATGGACTAAGCCACTGCTACTACTGTTCTGATCATAGTTTCACTTCCTCCACGATTATCTCCTCAGTTGTGGTTGACAACTACAGAATTCTTAATCTTTTCTAACAACCAACAATTTTCAGATGGAGGTCCCTGAAGTGAAATCTTGAAACCACTACTGCACTTTGACATCGAGTTGATTGATTTGATGCTAAAAACAAGATGATGGATATGTACAGTATTTTGCTTTTGTTAGCAAGACGGCCCCCATGCTGCATATGTCACCCTCTTCATGTTAGCACCTTGCTGGTTGTTGATCTGCATTCTCACCTACTGTGTTAATACTCAACGTACATGTTTTGGCTGTGATCCGACATGTTGCAGTTCTCCCTCTCAGCATTTCTCTCATGTATCCCGTATCAGCAGTGAGACAAAACTGGCGGTCACTGATGGTTATAAAAACATTTGTCTGACATGGACACATAAAAACACGCACGTAACTCTTTTGAAAACCCACTCTACACACAATTAATCACCATCATTCTCACACACTTGCGTACTCTGTGAAATAAATTTGCGGTTGTTGCCATTATGTACTCGTTTTATGGAGTTTTATCATTTTTATTGCCATCCATTAATGGGCGCTGGCTGAGGTTTATTTCTCAATGGGGTCCCTGTACAGGATTATATGATGTTAGGTCTAGATGTCACACCACGCAGCAGGCTGGAGATGAGATTATGAGAAGGCCAAATGAACTGGAGGGGGATTTACTTTATGCCCAGCGTCCAGTTGATGAAATCTGTTGCTGCTGTGTGAAAGCTTTCCATCACAGTATAGTGTATGTGAGTGGAATTATTACTCCTCCTATTACTGAGGTAGAAAGGGTGTTTATTTTTCTGATGAGGCTAAGAATAAAGACAGTGCGTTGTACATTGTTCAATAAAATACGTAGCACTTGCTAAATTAACATAAGGCAAACATTTAGATTTATTCCCAGCATGTTTATCTGCTTTTAATTACATAAATTAAAACAATTTAACAATGAAAACACAGCATTTTGCACACATATTTTCCACTTCTCTTATTTATTGCCCTCTCACTGAGTATTCCTATAATTTGCCCCATAAACTGAATACTGCGTGACTCTGATCTACTAATTAACGTCTTTACCCCCGTTTAAAGCAGTTAATGGTCTTCTGAGCTTTTAATATTTTTGAACACTAGAATCTCACTGTTATTATGCAGCATTTATTTTCCTACTTTAATTCACTTTGATTTTTACAACCTCTGCCCTTTTCTCCAGATCCCAAGGATTATCAACCTGAAGCCCAGCCGAGGGCCGGTCTCTGGAGGGACCATTGTCAACATCACCGGCAGCCACCTCGACGCTGGGAGCAACGTGTCAATCATGTTTAAGGACCAGCCGTGCACTTATCTGAGGTTAGTGGGGAGCAAGCTAGAGCCGATCCTGCCAATCACACTTAAAGGGTCAATTAAAAGCTCAGTCAAAGCCTGTTTTAGTCAAACTACAGTGAGAAACCCCTCTGACAGGTGTTTGATCTTTTCTCCCCACACAGACAATGATCAAATGTCCTGGAAAGATTAAATGGTGGTGATTGAGGAATGGTGCATAGTATTTTAATCATGACACTTCAATCTGTTAATTAGCTATGGTCATTTTTTTTCTTAGTACTATAGATAATTTTTTAATGAGTTGGAAATGGCATTTTCTTAAATTATTAATAAAAGACAGTATTATTGTAAATTGCTGCTTTATACTAATCAATACATAATCCTATGTTGAGTCAATAAATTATCTATCCATGTCCACTTAAGCAACCAGTCAACCATCTCACATATTAAATTGATCTTGGTTTTTGAATGATTTAGTAGTTGGCACAGTGATGAACAACGAGTGTCTACACCACGTAATGTATACTAGGTAATGCTACTGTCTATAAATAACTACTGTAACCAGTTTTTCATCGTCCTGTCATCACTGTAGGAGGGGTGGCCAATGGCTCACCTGCCGAACCCACGCTTCCCTGCACGGCTATGGAAACGTGTCCGTGTCCGTGAGCATAGACAAGGCTCATCTCCAGAAAGACCTGCGGTTTGAGTATGTGGAAGATCCCACCATCACCAAGATAGAACCTGAGTGGAGCATCTACAGGTACGGCAGAAGGGATTGTTTCAGTCACATAACTTGTTTGACAAAAACAGCCTGAGCTAATATCGCAGCATCAATATTGTTGTCTTTAGCTTGCCTTGTCATAAAGTTGACTTTAGCTTGTCATAAATGTTTTAATGTTGAAAAAAAAAAAAACATTTGACAGTGGACATTTGGGTTTTTAATCAGGCTTGGGCCAAAAAATGTTGCCATGGCTTGTGTTAGGTCGGGCCTGGACAGAAACTATGCAGGATCGTGTAGGGTGGGGCCTGATATTTTGGGTCTGATCAAAGCTCTAATTTATATCACCATCTGTCAAAACAATCTGAGCTATGCTTTGAGCCTTGTTGACAATTATCTCTTTCTTTCTGTCACACAGTGGACATACCCCAGTGACAGTGACAGGAACTAACCTGGACATCATTCAGACCCCGCTCATCAGAGCCAAATATAACAGCCATGAGACCCTCAATGTAAGTAACTATGAAATCAAACAGTGTGATTGATTAGGAAGTTGCCTTAAAATCCTAAAAGTCCTTAAAGTTATGTTGGCAACATATCTTATAGGTCACACAATATTAGGCTATTTAATATGCAGACATTTTTGCTGTTAGTATTTTCATCTGCTGGACAGCTACCCGTGACACCAAACACACACACACAGAGTCAATTAAATATCTTTACCACCACCGGTGTTTCTAAATCCCCAGTTTCCCTTGTCAGCTAGACATCCCAAAGGAAGAGGGCCATGGTGAATGTCAGAGTAATTTTCTTTTTTCCAGAGCATGACTAAATGCCTCAGTGCCACTTTTAGGTAAATGGGTCAAGGAAAAAACTCCGAGCACACCGAGAGGGCATAGTGACAATCAACAGGTTGCAACTGAATTAATAGAAAATGATGTAATTCCTCTTCACACCTTTGCAACAATGGGGAAGTTTTGTCACCGAACTAGAAACCACAGAGATTGGCCCTTATCAAATTCTTCTACCCTCTATTCACCCTTTTTTCCCAGGGGAGGATAGATAAAGCCATACAAGGGTCTCTGTGATCTGATTGAAAGAAGAGGGACTGACAAAAGGCGGTAATGCTATCTTCATGGTCCATTTGAGCATGAGCTTGCACCACGTTTAACATCTGTGCTCACATATGCCGGCACTGGGCATTGTGTCTCAAGCTACTGTGCTGGCAGCTTGCACTTTGAACCAACATAGATTAAACGTGCCGACATTAATTTACTCACTCTCACATTTTTAGTGCAACACAGCTCAGGTTTGCACTAGATGTAAGGGAAATAAACATTCAAGCAACATTCGTGTTCAGACAAGTATTTTCTCTTTGCAGTCACCTTCCTGCAATAGTGCAGTATACATGTCAGAGATGTGCTGAAGACCTTTCAGGATTAGTCAAGTTTGATGTTCAAGGAGCCAATTAGAGTGACAGGCAGTGCGTTTGAGTGGCTGCATGGCAGAGGTTACCGTGGAAATGTCTGCGAATGAGATGAGATGTCTCTGAATTAAGACCTGTGCTGGTGGTTGATTTGTCAACGCCCTGACAGACGGAGAGGAATGGAGATGTTAGAGGAATATTGAAGGGCGTGTGGCATGACAGTGACAGATCGGACAATCTGTTCTTGTGTTCAAAACTGGCTTAGAGATGTGAATAAAGACGAACTAAAGAGGGAAGATTTAAATCAGATCATATGTCAAATGAAAGACCAGGGCAAAGATGAAGAACCACCAAACAAGATCGAGACAAGACACCAAAAAAAAAAAAAGATGGAAGAGACAGTATAATTGAGCAGTAAAAGTGGTATAGAGAAAGATGAGTGACACAATAAGAATGTGTCAAAGAGAGAAGAAAAGATCAGAGAGAAGAATAACTGGACAGGGAATAAAGAAGTGATGAGAGGGTGGGGGTGCCTTATCTGGAGCGTAATGAAGGAAGGGTAAGACCTAGTTATCACTCCTGAATCTTCACACATCAAAGCCGGATTGCGGTGAGACTGCACACGCTCTCTAACTGCACCTCATTTGGTGGCTCTCTTTGAGGAATACACTCCAACAAGTTCGTCTTTGCACTTTTTGAAATGGAGCCGCTTCCAGTTTGAATTGAGTCTCCAGAGGCCTCGGTGAATTGTAAACCTGTGACATAAAAGATTCATACTAACTGCTGATGAAATGCCTTGCCATGAAAGTGAAGTTGGTGAATGTTCATGTGCCAGATTGCCAGAGCTTTATTAACCAGGGGGCATAAGTGAGGTATATTGAGATCCAGCCATGAAAAGTTATGTGAATAATGTGGACTGATTAGTAATCACTCCCAGTATCTTCAGTGAGATGGAAAGCAACGCAACACCTCCCAAAATGCACATAGCAAGTAGAGATGCACCAACTGCAATTTTCTGTCTTTCTAAAAACTATAATTTACAGCATATGCAAACATTGTGTAACTTTTCTTCAACAGGAAATTCAGTTGTATGTTCATAATGAAACATTGACTATTAAATAACGCTGCTATTACTCTGAGCAGAATGCTTGGGTATGAATTACAACTATTTCCCTGATAGTTTGAATAAGTGGCTAAATATATCTCTGGCCATCTTAAAAATAAAGTCAGTAAGACTGTCTGAGAATCCACTAACGAGGGGGCGTAACAAAAAGTCAGTATTTCACACCCTGGGAATGAGAAAAGGTTGAAGCAGCTGTGACAATAACAGCAGTTGATTACTGTCTGTGCCGCTGTGCAAGGGACGTGAACAATCTTGTGGTGCATGCATGTAAATTTGATCAGCACAAGATAAGTTATATCCAAGGCGGGGTGGATGGTCACAACTCTCTTAAAGCCAGAAACCAGAGGAGTAAGTGTGAAAGTTGTGATGTCATAGGGTATGAAGACTGGAGCTGCTCCATAGACAATGAATGGACTGACTTTGCTGACCCACAGAATGTTTGTTTTCTTTTTAATTTCCAAATTAGATTTATTCTGTTGCAGTGATCTCAGTTCACAAACACAAAATGTACCCAAATACTCAGAACACTCCCAGAGGCACTCTCAGTGTTATCTAGAACATCTTTCACCATTCATTGTTAATTGAGCAGTTATAGACTTTACACCCTATGACATCATACATTTCAGTTCAACATCAGTTTTTTGATTTGACAGAGAGTTGTTATTGTATACTAATGTTTTTGGGTTGCCCTAGACCAAAGGAATAACAGTACAAGATTTCTCTGCTTCCACTAAACTCTCCATTTCATTGACATAATATATGCTCATACATAAATATAACTCGTCCTATCTCTCTCTGTCTCCTTCCAGTTGTGCCAGGTGCTCGGCCCTACGTCCATGCTCTGCCAGGCCCCAGAGCTGCCCATCAGTCTGGCCAGGCAGCAAGAGGTGCCTGAAAGACCTGATGAGTTTGGCTTTAAACTGGACGATGTGCAGGCGCTGATGGCGCTCAACAACACCAACTTTATCTACTACCCCAATCCTGAGTTTGAACCACTCAGTGTGTCCGGGGTGCTGGAGCTAAAACCTGGATCACCCATAATACTGAAGGTAGGATGATAGGTATTACCTACACTGACTTGCAAGTTACTGTCTTTCATTTACCCATAACATGTTTTTTTCGTCATTTTGCAGTGAGACCAATATCCGTAGAATTCATTTGTAACTCAAGGGTATCAAAATTTCATATCAGGATTACAGTGACTGAAATTCTCAAGGTTATTAGCATTATCCAAGCCTTGTTAAAATGTGCTCATTCACACACTAAAATCATTCCGCCAAGTTTTATATTGAAATCAAGCGGCAACCTCCAGGAATAAAAAATGATGCCAACGTAGAGGTGCGGAAAACTGCATTTCCTCTAAGGGCCACTTGAGGCTAACTCCAAAAGTGAGTCAACCCCCATAGGTTTCAAAAAACTAAGATGGCAATGGCTAAAATGCCAAACCCAAGGCTTTAAAACAGGAGTCTACAAACCAGTGGGTGACTTAATGGTAGCTAAGTCCATTATTTAATACAGTGGATGGTTGAAAACTACAAATAAAATTAGCAGAACTTTCTGTTTGCATTAATATTAAATTAATAATACAGCCAATACCTTATGTAAACAAGTATAAATCATATCTAATGGGCATTAATATTAAAGATAGCTTGTCTTTGACATGCTTGCTCGAGTGTCATTGTGACTGTGGATGAGGACAAGGGACCAGTCGCATCACTGGGTTTGCCTGCTGCACACTAACTCTGTATACAAAGGAATAGCAAAACAAACCAAGATTGCATACTGCACCTGAGAGACTCTTGCTAACTTGGACAGTATTTGCTTTGAGTTTTTCAAAGTGAGATAATCAACCATGGTTTTAACAGTTATACTACCAATCAGGAATGTCACCACGGTTTAACATGAAACTGGTAACGTTTTCTCCCTAGTTGTAACTATCGTACCCCTTTCTTTAACAGCAACTTTAATTATGCATGAATTCTTTCCTGCAGGGGCGGAACTTCCTTCCACCAACCAATAGTGGAAACGGAAAGCTGAACTACACAGTTTTTATTGGCGAGAAGCCCTGCATGTTAACAGTGTCAGAGACCCAGCTGCTCTGTGAGTCACCCAACCTGACAGGTCGACACAAGGTCCTGGTGAGTGATACAGCACATGCTGAGAAAGACACACACACACACACACACACACACACACACACAAGGAGATACACAAGACAGACAGGCCAGCTATGGTGGAGAAGGCAGACAGACCTACAAATCGATCGACAGTTTGACAGACAGACGGACATTCCTCGTGTTGGCTTTCTATCAGTCTCCTTGTCCACTTCGAGACAGACTACGGCTCTAATCCAATCGGCTGTGTGGTTCCTGTTACTGCCCACAAGCAGACAAAAGACAAACAAATAAGCCTTCAATAAGAAGGATTAGGGCCCCGGCAAACTCAATAAAGATTCCATTTGTGGTTTTAAGAGGGACCACTTTGAACAAAGCGCTTCCTGATGTTACCACCTGAAGCCAGCGTCATAGAAAGAGATGGACACATTATTGTAACACAGTTAGTGGATGCACAAATAAACAGAAGTGTGTACACATTTAAAAAGTAAATCAATATGTCTGTCTGTCTGGGCTTTGATCTAGATTTTGAACACAGAGAAATGCTTTTTAGACCTAAAAGGGATTCACACAGGCAATATTACATTACGGTTCATAAATATTTGTGATATGTTTTGCCTTGAAAAACACTATACGTCCTTGGTTGATTGCTACTTATTTCCACTTTTCTAAGGGTCAAATTAGTGAACCTTTTCCAATTGTTACTGCTGAAGTGATATTTAAGTGAAGCTCTCCTCTGATTATAGCTGTGGTATATTGAACCACTTGTCTCATGTTTTACGGCCCGTCCCTGTGAAAACCTTTCAAGGAAGTAAATGCATACGCATTAATGCACAGCGCATGCACACATTAATTATATTCTGCCTCTGTATCTTTCACCATCACAAGGCGCGTGTTGGCGGTATCGAGTTTTCCCCAGGTGTGGTCCACATCACGTCTGACAGCCCGCTCAGCAGCACGGCAATCATTGGCATTGCCGCAGCGGGTGCTCTGCTCATCCTCTTCATTGTGGTGGTTCTCATTGCCTACAAGCGCAAGTCTCGTGAGAGTGACCTGACACTGAAGAGGCTACAGATGCAGATGGACAACCTTGAGTCACGTGTGGCTCTGGAGTGCAAAGAGGGTAAGATGCTGATGTGTTGTAGCTTATATGGAGGAGCGCTTCTTTTTTGCTACCTTATAAACTTCTTGAATTATTCATTTACTCTGTTTAAACAAGCCCACTCCTTCAGAACAAAATGTGAAATCTCACAATCTTAATGAAACGTCTTTTCTATTTAAAACTCTGTTAAGAGTACTAAAAGTTGATAATGGAATCCATATGTTGTGTGAAACTCATGTATGACAAAAATAAAAGTGGCATTTGCAGAGTGACCTTGTTGATGTGAGAGTTAAAAATAAGAGCAGTGTTTATGGTGTTAAGTATCCACAGCATCCAGTGTTGCCACTTCAGCTATCGTTTAAAGTTTGTCAGTCAAGCTGATTAATTGTAAACTACCTGAGATCACAGGTTTCATGAAAATACCATCATAAGCTAATGTGCTTTAAAAAATAAGTGGTTTGTGTATCTGGTTTATCCATCAGCTTTTGCAGAGCTCCAGACAGACATCCATGAGCTGACCAGTGATCTGGATGGAGCAGGAATTCCCTTCCTGGACTACAGGACCTACACCATGAGGGTCCTCTTCCCAGGCATAGAGGAACATCCAGTACTCCGAGACCTGGAGGTATGGTTTCACTGAACTTCAGATGGCGTGTTCCCCTTTTAAAGGAATATTTCACCCCCTAACTGACCGCCTGTGAAAAAAGTCTCTAAAGAGTCTTTGTGAAGAAAATGATTTATGAATTGAAGTCATGGGGTCAAAACATCTATTTACAAGCTCTTACACAACATGTGCAGTATAATCTAAGTCTCATTTATCCAGTCGTATGCTCAGTACTTCCCAAACAGACAGCTCTTTCCGATGGGGAACTGAACTAAAAGTGAAACTTACATACGCTCTCTTCAAAGCCAGACTCCATTGATAAAAGTAGTAATTTTACCTCGTTGAACACAGGAGCTGCTGGTCTACCGCTGCCTTAATCTGTAGTTGTTTGTGTTATTGTGTGACTTTGGTGTTTTAAAGGAATAGTTTGGATTCAGCAAAGTCACCCAATAACATTAACAAATCATCTGATTGAGATGGCAGTAGACTGGCAACTCCCTTGTTCAGTGAACTTCAATTACTGTTTTTCTCAATGGAGTCTGGTTTTGAAGAGTGCATGGAAAAAAAGTTTCACTTTTAACTCAGTTGCCTGTTGGAAAGAGCAGTCTGTTTGTGAAGTATTGAGTATCCGACTGGGTAAATAAAGCAGACTCGGATTACACTACACAAGTTTTGTGTGAGTTTGTAAACAGATGTTTTGATATAATTTTGCTGCTGTTAAATGCAGACCTTCAATTCTTCAATTCATCAAGAATTTTCTCCTTTTTCGTTCACTGAAAGCATGTGAGGAAAACAAAGACTTCTTCACGAATTCAAATGGGCAATTGGGGAATGAAGTAATACTTCAAGTCAGTATCTGTTTAAATGAAGGAACTGGCTGAACATTACTTGACTTAGTACTTATTAACAAAAATAATTTGATACTGCATGTGTCAGATTGTGGAGATTTTTATTGGTGAAACAGGAAAAATACCTTAAACCAAAAAAGTTCTCCACTGATGTGCTTGAGGGAGAATATTTTAATTGAAAAGATACACCATCAGTTGAGTTGATCAGCAGTTCTTAGAAATTCATGAGGCCTTGAAGACAGCAGGGCAAAAGAAGTTGATTCCAATTTCCCACTAGTTTGAATAGTGCAAATAACACAGCCGTGTATACCTGTTCCTCAGCCTCTATCAAATAACAATCTCTATGCAATTAGCCCTATTTGAAAAGAGAGCAAAATGAACAAGCAAATTAACAATGTGGTGGGTCACAGTAGGTGAAATTGACACCGATGTTGTTTGTGTTGCTGTCTGGTAAACAAAAGCCTTTTGACGGCCGACAACAACACTTTTTCAAAAACAAACAAGGCAGCCCTCAAATCAGGAGCGCGTTCTCATTAATAACTCAAACGATACGAGACGCTGCTCCGTTTTCTCTCTCCACCTCAAAAACAAATTAAAAGTCAATCAGTGGGAGAAAAGCAAAAGAAAAAAATCAAGTCATTTATCCCCAGTAGTGACAGTGATGGACAGCTATAATTGAGCAGGTCGTCTTGTTCCATTAAGAGAATGATGGACCCCTATTTCACTGCCCTCAGGGTTGGCCACTCTATCCCTGATGAGAATTTCCCAGTAATAAGCAATATTAATTACGTTTTAATTGGTATAAATGTCGAACTGTACGAGGAGTATAATGTGGAATAGGAGCCTAATGAAAAAAGCAACCGGCTTGTCTCATGCGGTAGATGGCTGCTTAATTGTTATTGATGTGTCGGACAATTTAAAGTCAAGTTTTGACTGTGCGGCTGTAGACAGAAATAGCACAGGTGATAGAAAGTCTGTGTTGGTTTAGCAAAACAATTGGATTTACTCAGCACTGAAATATTTAAAAAGATTTGAGGTGCTCAGTAAAAATAAGAATTACATGACAGAGATGTTGAAATATAGTCTGGCATGTGTCAGCTCAGTAAAGCCTTCTTCTTGACATGACTGTTTTTATTTATTTTCCCCACAACAATTTCCCTTACATCTGAATCTCATTTTGCTTGCTGCTATTGTAGGATTTTTTTCCTGTCATTATATTTCCCACTTCCCTCTTGATCTTTATGGAAACAATTCAGTTTCCGCAGTCGTCGCCATTTTACTGCTCCACCTGTCAGCCCTCCAAACACAAATATTCCAGTGACCCTATGGAGATTGGAGAGTATGCAGGTCAATATTTTGCTGTCTTAATACACTGTCTTTTCATAATTCTAAGAGACATGTTCAACATGTTTGTGTTACGGTACTGTACAACATATTTGTAGTGTCTGTAACCTACAAACATTCACAGTTTATTTGGAAAGATACTGTAGAAAAGAAGGCGTAAAACTTGCACACGCCAACACGCATTTCCCAGTTTTCCCAGATTTTCATGTGTGCATGTTCTGACACGCTTGTACATTTTGTATATGCACACTTGAAACACGTGCACACACGAACACTGTACACATCTTGTCAGGCGGTATGAAATTAGACTTGCAACTTAACAATAGCTCCCAGCAGATTACAAGGGGTTCCTCCAGGAAAGGTAAAAGACAGAACATATGCTGGTTGACAGCTGCATTGGGTACAGAGAGATGCTGTCTTGCCACGAGTGCTCTTGACAGATAAAAAAAACAACAAAAAAAAACGTAATCTCAATAGGTGCTATTTATGAAAAAAAATTGAGAGGAAAAGCGTGTGCAGCAAGTGACTAGTATAAATGGTGCAGGGACAATCTGGGCTCAGATGAGGGGAATTCACATCACTGCACTCCCTTTCTACTTGCATTAGTGTGGAACAGAGCGCCATCGACGTAATAAACATTCCCTCCAGAGGCTCAGTGTTTTCCTGCCTTTATTCTCAACCTTCAGACTAAACGTAACAAAAGCTGGAAGATGTTAAACTCCCCATCTCCCCAGATTCTTTATTCCTTATCTCTTTCTGTTTCTCTCGTCTTTTCATTCTTATACATAAAGATGTATTTATGAACTGATAACTGCACTTTTAAATAGAGGAACTATACCTGAATTTACTGTTACTTTGATTTATTCCCATTCAGATTTGCTAGTGAGTTAACATATCTATGAACCTGATCTAAATATATTGTTGTATGCACTGTGTTTACACAGTTAAACCAATGTTAAAGTTGCCTCCATAAAAAGTATCTAATTAGAGAGGCAGAGTGCTAATACTACATTCAAAGGAAGTGATGACTAATTGGATCCATGTGACACCACCATGAATGTGCCACACAGACACTTTACTTTTTTCCCCCTCCTTGTTATTTTTAATGTGTCTCAGTCAAATGAACATTTCTCCTCTTTCCTAACAGGTGCCAGGCTACCGCCAGGAGCAAGTAGAGAAAGGGCTGAAACTCTTCGGCCAGCTCATTAACAACAAGGTCTTCCTGCTGTGTTTTATTCGCACGCTCGAGGCCCAGCGTGGTTTCTCCATGAGGGACCGCGGCAACGTGGCCTCACTGATCATGACAGTGCTGCAGAGCAAGTTGGAGTACGCCACTGATGTCCTAAAGCACCTGCTGTCCGACCTCATAGACCGCAACCTTGAGAGCAAGAACCACCCCAAGCTGCTGCTCCGCAGGTGAGAACCAGGCACAGAGTTTAACTTGACTCCCTTCGCTGTCTAACAAGTGCTTAAATTTACACAGCTGGTAGTGACCATTTTTTGATGTGCTGCATATTCTGAACCAAGCAGGAACTGTCCAACTCAATTCCTCTCCTTCTTTTTCCCACTGATAAATAGTCAGAGGTCCTTTCCTACATATTTAAACACTGAACTGTCACACACATTCAACTTCTCTAAATTTAGCCTTCTATTGAGCTTGGTTGGGGATAGAGATAAAGTGTTATACCGGTTAATGTCAACCCTTTACTATCAAGGACAGGAAATGCCTCTCTATCTGTGCCTCTGTCCGTATCTGTGACATGTTTGGATTAACTTCCGTGACCTTGAATTGCTGGCTCTGTCTCTGAGACACCAGAGTGCATTGCCATGCACATCATTAGCAAAATAATTATGATTAATTAGCAGTGAATCCAATTTCAAATAGCTCAAGAGAAAAGAAAATACTCATTTATGGAAAAAAGGAGAACTCTGAAAGCTCGCACTCTGGCACAATCACAATTCTCCCTTGGATTCGTAGTCAAAGCTTTAATGGCACGCACTTGAACACAGCACTGTATGTGATTACGCTTCCTGCCTGCGGTGTTTGGTAAATGTGATGATTATGGTTACTTGAATAAACCGGCTCCCTCACAGCTGTATGCCTGTGATGTGCTCCTGCATGTCTATACATATAGTATATATGTCGTTTCGCTTGGGGTCATTGGTCAAGTCATGACACCCCCCAGATGAGTTGACAGGCATGTCACAAATTAATTTGTTGTCCTTGTTTCAATTAAAATTCAGATTTTCCCTCCAGCTAAAAACTCATCTCTGCCAGTATATACACACACACAAATACAACAAGCATATATTATGCGAGGAGACCTTAAAATGAATGCCTTCCTCTTACCATCCGCAAGACGGTGGGCATATTCATCTCATGAGAGGCTGTTTAGATGCTACTTGGTGATGCAGAGAGAGATTAATGCTGTCTGGGCAGGAGGCATGATTAATTGCAGCCAGAGCTCACCGAGCTCGGTGCAGCCACTAAACAATGGAGTAACCGCTGATCCTGGCAGTAGATACAACACGAGATGGCGCGTGTACCACAGACAGGGAGAGGTAGTCAAGGACAATGGAGACACTTAAAGCTGTGTCACCGAGTGAGGAAAGCTGACTGCTGGGGCTTGCAGACAAGTAGAGATTACTTTGATCACTTAGTTTAAAGTAATCAGCATCACCAGAAGACAATGATGGCATTATATTTGTACATTTCATAGGTACCATATTTCTTAAGCGATGTACTTGTGGTTATGTGTATATGAGCTTACTTTGCCATCAGGAGGTGGAGGGGATGGTGGGTGGCGTGACATCGAGGTGAGACAGCTGCTAAGCTGCAGACCAGTGTTAGAGACCAACAAACAACAAAACAGACTGTTGTTTAGTGAGTCATCGGCTCACTTTCCAGCGGCGATTGTACCACCAAAACAGTTTTTTTGTTTTTTGCAAGACACTGGCGCTATTTCCAGCTGTGATTGTGGCACCAAAACTGGAAATTCTAAGCCAAAGCATGATGGTTTTGTGCCTAAACATAACCACACATGAACCACAGCATTGTTGAAAATTAAAGTTTTAGTGTTTTTGCTGCCTGTGGTTAGCAGAAATGTCTTATGCCAACATTTAATGTGGGCGATTGGGTGACAATACCCACATATCATTGATTAATGTCATGTCAGATTATGATTTAAAGTGAATTTAGGGTTAAATCCTCAAAGAAATAGTTGCTCTAAGTGCTGCAAAGACAAACTGTTCTTAAAGCAAAGTACCAAAAAAAACACACAGTCCTTCACACTTTCTCTCCCCCTCCCTCGTCATCAAGGGAGAGGGAGAAGGAAAACCTGGGGAAAATGCCATCGCATTCAGCCAGCACTGGAGGGGAGAGCACATGTTTACAACAAATGCACGCCCAGTTTGATTGCCCATTTGTCATACACACGATTGTGATGCGCACTGATCAAACTGTCTTCATCTCATTCTTCCTCCTTCGATGCGCTTGTTAGTCCTTCAGCATCCCAGCATGCATTTCAGATGTGATGAGGCAGTGTGAGCAAGCTACGCCACCCCATAGTGTGGGCTGACTGGCGTGTCCTTGGATAGCAGCTGAAAATAGCCCAGAAACACAGGCATAAGGCTGTGAAGATGAAGCTTAATCTTGTCTGGAGAGATAGCACCCCTACCTCTCCTCTTCTCTCCTTTAATTTGTTCTGTCTGTTCTTTCTTCCCTTTCTTTCACCATGTTTGCTCATTCTGAGTGTTATTCTCCCTCGCTACCTGCCTCTGCTCACTCTCCACTGCTCTCTCCTCTATTTGTCTTCACTTCTGATGCTTGTGCCGCCTGTGTCACACCGTCACTATCTTTATCTCTCCCTTCCTCTCTTATACTCGCTCTCTCAATCTATATTCCCAGCTCTTCTTCCCCTCCTCTTCCCCCTCCCCTGTTTTCTTGATTGCTAAATCAATGCTTAAAGTGCGTGAGCAGGGTGTCTCTGGCACAGCATCTGAGCACGGCTACCCACTGCCTCCTCTTCCAAGAAATCTGTGTGTGTACGTGTGTGTGTGCGTGTGTGTCTTTTTCCTCTCCCTCCACACACAAACACACATCCTTCCATCTGTCCCATCTCAACCTGTGCTGAAGCACAACCACCAGGCAAGCTAACTAACGAGAGCCTTCCACAACCATCTGTCGCATTCCTTGCTGCATTCTCCTCCTGTAACTCCTCTCTTCCCTCCATTCCTCCCCACCACCACCATCCCTCTTCCCATCATGCAGAGCTGAACAGCCTTTCCATAGCCTTTTAGTTTTAGTTTGGCTGCACTTGATGTGTCAGAATACAAGTTTTGATATTGGTCAAAAGATGAAAGCCCAATACGTTCTTGCATTCTTGCTTGAGCTCCAACGTGGATACACAATCATCACACAGGTTTAAAGCCCCCCCTGTTTCACCATAAGAAAATCTACCTTCATGTGTATGTATGCATTTACAAATCAATGTCCACAGCTAGCCGTCTCTGTGATGACCAGTGTTCCTAACTGGGAGGCAGAGTGGAAAATGGAAATGATTACCGATCTCATGCTGCACTGCTTTAACCAGGGGACTCTCAGATGCAGTTACATGTACGGTTAACACAGCTGCCATTGCTCCTCTTTGACTAGAATAGAATAGAATATATCTTTATTATCCAGTGCAGTATTCTCACTTACTTCTGATTCTCCAGTTTGGCGGCTTAATGGGTTGTATAACTCACTCAGCCGTGTTGTTAACTGGAACTCAAACTGTAGCTATACTTTCAAAATGGTGTATTGATGACGTCACAGATTATAAACACACGTGACTGACAACAGTCAATAGTGCCCCAAACTAGCTAAAGAGAGGATTTGAGCTATCTACCAGAATACTCCTCCCTTTCCCCCTCTTCCTGTCTGTTAAGAGTTGGGTCAAGGGCTTTTGGGGTTTGCCAATTAATTTGCTTGCCATCGACACAATCCCAGAGATTTCATTCTTAGATGTACAATTTAGGTGACCATGGCAGGCTGGATGGGGAAAGTTAAAATATCCTTAACCATAGATTTGTAGACTTGTTCTAAAATCTGCTGACTGACACAGAGACCATTAGTTTACCAAGAAGATAGAGTCACTAGAGTTGTTAGCATGTATTGAAAATATGCTCAGTGTTTCCAAAGAAGATCCCCTGGGAGTCCAGAACTGCACTGAGGTATTTAAAGTTTTCCACACTTTAAGCATGTTGGCTTTCAAGTGAAACTGAAAATGGAGTCTTGACAGAACCTTTTCTAAATTCACTTGTTTACGAAAGGACGTAAAGATATGGTGAAAGGGCCTCTTTACTGTCTTAAAACAGTATGTAGTGTCGAAATGAGCAGTCAGTTAAATAAATAAATAAAGAATTTTGATGATAGACTGTCGAAAGCATTTCTCAATATAAGCATTTGAAGGTGCTACTTACTGGGGGGAAAAACAGTTGGCATTAATCTGCAAAGTATCTGCAAGTAATTGCATTGACGCATCAGTCTGAAGTGCAAACCAAAGAAATATCAGTGAAGAAGAGAGGCTGTTTGATTTGATTATATGGACAGAAGAGCACCTTTAATTTTGTTATGGCTTTGTTGGTTATGTTTTACGCTCACATCAAAGACTCACAGTCGTCCAGGAAATAACAGTTTTCTAGAAAGTGCCCATTTCATACAGATACACAAATGCATGTTACTGGCAGCTATGGCCAACCAAAAATGTTAATGTGTGATGAAGCACGGATTCCCATCAACTCTACCTCGGTAATCAGGGGGAACTAAGCACTGCCAGGTCCCCTCTGCTCTAGATCATTCTCAATGCCCACTGCCCCTCTGACTGGCTGCCAAGTAGGCAAGCCTGACCATGCCAACACGCCACGGCACATTTCATTGCATTAACCCAAACATAGGTTGCGCTGTGTTTGTTAGCAGCTGAGTGGAGGTATGGGGAAGATTGTTTGAAACTTGTAATACCAAACGCTAACGTTAGATGTTGAAGCAGAGGCGTTTTTATCCTTGTTCCCTATACGCTGTGCTGTGATCGAGAATGAGCATAAGCAAACCAGTGGGGCTGTGCCAAGACTTCTTATTACAGCAGGGCCGGCACCCGCTGCCAGAAGCATGCTCACACACACACACACACAATAAACACTAGTCAGCACACATGGTAATTTCTGAATACATACGCAGTGGGATTAATTTGTGCTTTTTGCACGGTAGTCTTAAAACAGCCGCACACTTGTCCACTTACACAGGCACACAAAAACACAATATCTATTGGAAGTGAGTAAGAAAAGGGAAGTTTAAATAGAAGAAAAGGGAAGGGCAGACTCAGCCAAGCCATTTCTTCTCATTCATTTCCCTTCCATTGCTCCCTCCCTCCTTCCTTCCCTGAGCACCTCCTCCTTTCTCCATGCTCCTTTCATCCCTTTGATAGATGGGCTACATTTGTAGAAATGGAGAGGATTTGGAAGTGTGTATGATTACAGGATCCAGAGTGGGGAAGCCAGAGGGAGGGAGGAAGACCGCAAGGACACATGAAAGAAAAGATGAAACGTGACCTTGTTGACCCTTGGATCTGTGGACGGAGGAAGGGCGGGAGGGGCGGCAATATAAAAGTGTGGGCACAGCGAGCGGCAGGAAGTTAATCCCCCCCAGGTGTTGTGCCAGTGTTGGTGGGGGTTGCCAGGCCGGCCCACTGGCACAGCGGACATTATATCCCCCCTCATGCCTCAATGCGGAGCTCCTTAAAGAGGCTGTCTGAATGGTGAAAGGTGGGAGGGCTGCAGGTGGCAGCTGAAACACGGGACAAAACCTACACACACAATGCACACTAATCCTGAAATATTGATGCCTATGGTAGTTGCTCGTTGAAAGCAGAGGGGGTGTGTGGGTGTGTGTGTTTGAGGTGTTCTGACAGATTACCCACACACCCCTGCTGCTGGTCAAGGAGGTTGCTGTCAAAGGATATCCGATCCTCGCCTCTCCTCTTTCTCCCGTCGCCACCACCGCTGTTGTTATTATGTATGCAGATTAGTCATTCACACGGGATCAATCACACTGTTGGCCCAGGTCAACACAGACACACACACACACACACACACACACACACACACACAGATGCAGACACACACCATTTTGCCACACCAGTGGAGCATGGATGCCAGGCAGAGAAAGAGAGGGAGATGTATTCATTCACTTTCTATTGTGCACGGATCAAGTGTTAGTCCAGTGAATAGGCAAGGGAGCGCTTGATAATGAGGCCAGTGTTATTACAGAGCCGCTCCAGCCCCTAACGACATCAATCCACTGGGATCAAATAAAGGCTTTTAATTGCTTTGCCTCATATTAAAATCCCCGCCGCCGTCGACGAGCTGCCCTTGGCGTGCCTGAGCATAAAAGCCAGCCGAAAGATTGTCTGAAAGGCCATCATATGTGCAAAGGCTCTCTCAATTCTTGTCTTTGCAATTATATTTGTGTAGCGAAAGCCTATTCATTAGTGGTGGTCATCATTTTTAGCAGAATATTTGATGACGCCGTTGAATATTTATGACGGTAATAAGAGCATGCGGGATCATATGTTCATTATGTGCTTTGTGTCTGTGTGTTTGCAGGACCGAGTCTGTGGCAGAGAAAATGCTGACCAACTGGTTCACGTTTCTCCTCTACAAGTTTCTGAAGGTAAGTCTTTAATATTTGTTTCAACTCTCAAGTAGTTTAGTTCTAGTCCTAACCAAGTTGATTAAATCACTGTCGCCACCTTTGCTGGCATATGAGATGGGAGATTTGGGGTCCTCCATTAAAAAAAGAGAGCATAACACACTTTTTTCTGCAACAATTTTCTGCATTCTGATGTTTTTTTATGCACCAATTTTTGCCTTTTCTGCATCAATTTATGGTGACAAAAATGCTCTCATTTTGTCAAAATAAAAGTTCACAGCTAATTCTGTGATTTTATTTAATCTATGACTTTCACTGATAGTTAATGGCTGTATTTTTTACTAAGATTTGTCAATTGCTTGGACACAGTAGCAGGTAATTGTAATAGACCTCTATTAGTCCTCCATGTCCTTTTGAGACTGTAAAACTGCCTCAAAAATACACAAAGAATAACCCCTCCATCACACAGCCAGTGGATCAAAGATATGATGTAGAACATTGAGCTGTAAAAAATCACAAGCACCCTCAACGGCTCCATTAAGAGATTTTATAAAACCTTGGGCCCCATTCAGAAACTGTGTGAACAGTCTACCTGGCCTTGAGCTTTGAGTACCTCATACCTCTACAGGTGGTCTGTCCTATTTATGCAGTAGAAGTTCTCACCCCCTTTGCTGCATCACAAACTGTAATTTAAATAGATTTTTTATTTGGATTTTAGAAATAAATATGAATGAATAAAAAAACAACCTGTGCTATAAAGCCCATACTGAAGATTTTATGAGGCCAGTTACCTTCATAAGTCACGTAATTGGTTAAATTCAGTCCAGCTGTGTGCAGTCTAAGTGTCACATGATCTCAGTATATACAGTATATACACGTAATCTAAAAGGCCAATGGGTACCACAAAGCTAGCAGCACCACAAGGACTAAGGGGCTCTCCAAATAGGTCAGGGCGCAAAGTCCCAGTAGGCTACTACATAATGTAGTTGAACTATTAATTTAATTACATGTAGTTCACTACTCCCCAAAACTGCTTGTGTTAATGCCTCCACTGATAAATGGAAAAATCCCTATGATGAAGTGTGAAAGAAATCTGCTAAGAAGTCTATTTCTTCTCTCTAAACGAGAGCAGATCTGTATTTTAGTTATAATTAGGTTAATGAATATAGCTGTTGGTTTCATAGCATTTCCATTTTAATTTATTATTTATTAAAAGCCAGTGTTCTTCTAAAATTCGTTAGATGATTTGTCGTCCTTTGTCACCTAGCATGTAACACTGATGTGGATGTGCCATGAAGGAGGAGTACCTTTGACTCCACACAGCATCAGCATTCACTAAAAGCAAAACTCACCTCTCCTATCCACCCTTGAATGTAAAAAAAAACCAAGTCACTCTCATCCTGTTTTTCTCCTCCATCTCTCCACTGGCCCCTTTACTGCAGCTGGGAGGAGAATGAAACAATGATAAATGGCCAATCTCTTCTGTTTGATAAACAACAGTGTTTTCAGGAGGGAAGACGGGGGTTGCTTTTTTCACTGTTTATCCATTAAATCTTTCCCCAACTGTGGCTTCATTTCAGCAAAGTTTATATATTGATAGGTGGTACAATTTTCTTTAATTTAGGAGAACAGAGGTCTTGCTCAGCAACTCTGGCGGTGAGGCAGCCTGAGACACATGACAAAAAGCAACTACAACATTTCAGATAGATATTTTCTCTGACATTCTTAAACTTTGTTGTCAGTGAGTCAAGTGTTGAAATGACTTCAAAGTTTTCTTCCTCCCTCCCAAACTTTTTATTTGTTCCTCTCTCTTCTCTTTGCAGGAGTGTGCCGGCGAACCCCTCTTCTCCCTCTTCTGTGCCATCAAGCAGCAGATGGAAAAAGGCCCCATTGACTCCATCACAGGAGAGGCACGCTACTCGCTCAGCGAGGACAAGCTCATCAGACAACAGATTGACTACAAGACGCTGGTAAGGGGTTCACCGGCCTGGGGGTCCAAGGGCTGAAAGGGGATACTTAATATGCTTTCAGGGACAAGAGGAGGGAAAAAGGGTGGTTATGGGTTGTCGGTCATGAGATGAGCAACGTGACATAAAGTTGTCGTTGTCACGCTTGACATGCAGGGGCCACAGGAGTGGCGACCTCACTTCCTGTTGAGAGTCGAGCTGTCATGAGAAAGAGCAGGGCTTCAGGATGAGGAGGGAGGAAAGAGACTATGCATGTGTATATGTCTGCACAAGCAGAGAGACGCTGAAGCTCTCTCCTTCTGGAACCTCTCGTTCCAGAGTCTGTCTGTTGTTGTCTTCGCTCCACTCTGACGTGTTTGTTTGAGCGGGGGAAACTCAGACACTGTTTAGTGCTTACGTCTTCCTTTTCTAGTGTCACATCTGTTTGTACTCTACATTTTGAGAGTACAGATTTTCATACTCGATGTCTGTGGTGAACTGTGATAGGGCAAAAAACAAAAAACATCCTGGAAATTTGCCTCAGATTGTCTTTTTACAACGTAATCATCAGTACTCACCACCACCCCACTTCCCACAACATGTAGACACATGTAGAAACCACACTTGAAGAGTAAAGATAACACGTTGACCCTCTCAGTTATGTGTATTTGTGCTCATCTCGTAATTTCGGATAATTCCACCAACACCTGGAGACAGAGCTGATGAATATGCTAATAATATTATAATTAGCTGGTTTACTGCTCATCATTGAGGTAACACATTGCTGCCTCCCTTCAAGCTCTGAGGAAAAAGCCGTTTCCCTGGTGGATGATCTTTTCTTTTCCTGCAATTCTCTCAAAGACCCTTTGGCGAGCACAAAATTATTTCAGTTCCATCTGAGCACCAATCCACTGTGCAGTCAACATTATTAACATAAAACACACAAACCTCTTCTCTACAAGCGATTAAACATGCATTAGATATAGCACAATTTATCCTTTGCACCAAATCAACTTGGAGAGATGCTTTTATCTTTTCTCAGATACCCAGAAAACATTTCCCACATGTGAAATATAACAGAAGTTTTCTTTTAAAACGGCAGTCAGTACTTGGGATAGCGTCTCACTGGGCAGTCTTGTTTGTATTTCTCTTCCAGGTGGTGAACTGCATCCACCCAGAGAATGAGAAGAGCCCGGAGATCCAGGTGAAGGTGCTGAACTGTGATACCATCAGCCAGGTGAAGGAGAAGATCCTGGACGCCATCTACAAGAATGTCCCTCACTCCCACCGCCTAAAAGCCTCCGACATGGACCTGGGTACGAATCTTTGTCCTGTTATATATAAATAGTGTGGGAAAAGCATTTAAACAGCCATCTTTAGTCCTGTTTGTGCAGCACTAGTATTACCTGGGGACTCCATGTTATTTCAAAATTACCCCCCAGGTAACTGCTTTGTGCGGCACATTCTCACAGGAAAAGCAAAGTCTGTATTTTACTCAAATTTACTGACATTATCCCACAGATATGATGTGCACAGTCATTTGTAACTCCACTCAACACAACACAGAAACACTAAACAGCACTATGAGCATACAGACATGGCAGATTTGCACGGGACAAAGATCACAGACAACCTCTGCAATCATTTGAAAAGACCAGAGGTCCCCAGATAATACTAGTCTTTGCAAATAGGGCTTTTGGTGCATTACAGAAACCTTCTGTTCACCATGCAGGAGAGTCTAATAACAAAAGTTACCTTCTGTTTTGTCCTGTCACAACTGGTTGTTCATGTATTTATGTGTTTATCAAGAGATATGTCTAATTCTAGTTTCCACAATTGTAGTCTTGCTCTAGCGCATCATTGTAGTTACCGTACATCTTGTCAAAACATTTCTAACCACGCAGTGCTTCCCATCTATGTGCCTGGAGAAAAGCAGGCTGAACTTAGACACCCATTGATTTTTACAAAGGCTTCCCCACCCCCCCCAGCCCCTCTTAAAAAGTACAAGTCTTCTTAGATATAGAGAAGTAGCTTTCTTTCCAACCTCAGGAGACTTGACATCCTGGCTCTGTTGGCTCAGATGTCTGAGAGTGGTCTCTCCCCTCCCCAAACTTCCCATCGATCGACTCTCATGTCGACTAGCGTCTGAGTCAGATGATTGATCAGCTAATCAATCGAGACACTCAGTGATCTCTTCCCAACAAAATCATTTTCCCAGTGTTCCTCCTCCCTTTCTTTCTTACTTTCTGTCTTTCTTACTTTCTAAGGAGGAGGATACGACGTACAGGAAGGACTTGATTACATGAATGCAGGCGTTGGTTGCCATTTATGACCCCTGTGGGCATCTACAGTATGAAGTTGTTTTCCCCGAGTTGTGTAATTGTGTTTCTTTGGTATCTCAATTGCATCTAACTCAGGTCTAATATATTTGCAAATTACTTCAAGGTGCCTCTCATAAGGAAGACTCCAATGATATACCTTTTCTGCCAGACACCCAGTGATCAGGGGGCTGGGTACACCTTGTGCGTGTGTGTTAAAAGTACATGTGCACAGACACACAGCATAACAATGTTATCCACGATTGTTTGTCTGCTGATATCTACAGGCACTCTGCACCATGCACTGTGGTTTTTATAGTTTAATATTGCCAGATGGATTTTCTGGGCCCCTGTTGTGTGTTCGTAATAGCATATTTATAACCAACCCTGGATCGTAGATGGGGCTGAGTGCATACTGTGGGGAATCTGCCTGTGTGATAGCTAAGTGAAGAGATTGGTTTAGCCTTTTGACAACACCCCTGGATAAAATTGTTTTATGGCCCCCTTTGGGCAGGATGTGTTGTTCTATTATTGCTTTATTACGAAAGGGAATTGGAAATTGTCAGAGTTAGCCGGCCACTCGCTCTGTATGTGTGTGATTTCGAGTGAGAGAGAAAGGGGGAATGACTAAATACAAGCTCACAAGAGAACATGTGTACGCAGTAGGTATCCGACGTGCTGACACAGATTAGAAGAAAGTTCTCCTCTAATCATAAGTACATAAACAGACATGAACATGATTGACGTTTTGTTTCACGCCTGTGGGTTTTCTTTTAATTTGCAAGTCATGCTGTTGTAATTAGTACTTGTCATAGGCCTTGTGTTATTTACGTTGACGATGATGCTTCAGTGAAACAGGTCCTTCCATTTGTTATTTTGACACTTAAATTTTTAAAGCGGTCTGATAATATAAAGGTTATATCAGTAACCCTTTTTACTAAGACATCACAGCTAAAAAGTCCCTCCTTTATTGCGCCTTTGCATTCTTACACAGAACTAAACAACGGTAGCATCAAGTCGCTCCAGTGGCTGATTTTAGACAGCATGCTAGCATCATCGAAGCAAAAAGGCTTGATATATATGTGACATATAACACAACAGCGTCACCCTTAAGTGTGGCATATAACATACACGTCAGCTTCCTGCACTGTATAGACAATAACAATGGCTTAACATGGCAATAACAATCATTTACCCACCCTGTAACATGGCGGCAGATCCTATCCCCTGCCTGGAAGGTAAGGAGTTTACGGACTTAAGTGTCTGCCGAATTTACAGACATTTTTCAGTCACTATTCTTCTTCTTTGAGTTAGCTGCTAACTGCTGCAAGCTGCTTTTAAATGTCCTAGCAGTATAGCACACATAAGATGTCATCAAAACGTCACATCTGTCCCATCCATGGTCCTGTCGGTTGATCCTTTTCTACAGACGTTCCAGCGAGACAACTCTGCTCCCCCATTCCACGATTGTACCTTTTATACAGAACAGCAAGGTGGAATAGCCGCATGAAATTCCCGGGCAGTGTAAAAGGTGCTAGTGGCTCTCATGATCTCTGATGTACACACACACCCATACACACACACACACGCACAGCTTGATTGCAATTGCTGATAAGAATAATGAGATTGTGGCAGGTCTGTCCTGGGACAGATTGGCCAGGAGTGTTGTTGTCCCAGATATTGTTTTTTTTTATTCAATCCATAGTCCTCCATTGGGTTTTCAGAGAGGATGTGGCGTAAGAACAAAGACGCTCGACCCCGTGTATGTGTGTGTGTGTGTGTGTGTGTGTGTCTTTGTGTGCGTGTTACCAGTAGCAAATGTGTATCGTGCATCTCTGTGGAGTACAACAGTCACCTTCAGCCTTTCTCTTCACCATCAGCTTCCATACACTCCCCAAAGCCCTTATCTTTTTGGCTGTGTGTGACTCTAAACACAAGTCTGTACACACACAATCACACACACACTCTTCCTACTGAGCAGCGACCACTGGATTTGGGAATTGAAGTAATCTCAGTTTGCTCTGGTTTCACACTAAGTTTATTCTTTTATTTATTCCTTTCTCTTTTTTCTCACTCCTTCATGTGTTTACTGAGCCTCGACTGGAGACGGGCGCTCATTTGCATCTTTATGGGAAGATGTACTGTATAGACAAAAACAACAGGAGAATCTTTATTTCCTGCAGATTTTTCAGATGCTAACACAATTCCGGTCGATCCTCCAAAGACAGGCCTCATCATGCACCGCAGTGATTGCTGCTTTGTTTTGCTGTTTGTGATCAGAATAGGAGATGACAGTGGCCGATGCAAGTGGGAAGCTCAGCAAGGAGCAGAGACACAATAACGTATTCACAAAGCCTGCGATGTCTGCAGAATGAATAGAGGAATCATCTGCTTGTTTGTTTTTGAGATGGGTTTCCTTTTTCACTTATGATAATATTGCTGGGGCATTGTGAGATGCTTCTATCAAAGCTTTTGTTTTGTTTTGTGCTGAGCTTGCACAGATGTGGAAAGCCTGGTGTGTATGTAGCGTAGATGTAATTTGGTTGTAAGGTCATGTAAATCCTGTTGCTTAAATGAAAGACGCTGTCACGTGCATTGGAAGTTACTTGTTGAAAAGTATGGAAATGAGGTGATGTGCAGTCTGCAGCTTTTTACTTTCATTCCAGACAGTGTTGCTGTGGATATGAGTCTGGTGTGTTTCCACCAAAGCTCCCAGCAATAACAATAAGAGCAGCGAGGCAGGGGGCTTAGAGCAGTGGTCGGGGGTTTGAGAAGGAGAATGCAGGGACCAATAGCGTGTTCAGAGAGCAGAGCGTAAGGGCCGGTGCTGCAGATAGAAAAGGAAGTGCACAAGCCCTGGGCAAGCAGCTGTAATCACACCTATTGATCGCAGCAGCAAAAGAGATGGAAAGGAGTTAAAAGGGAGAGTTTGATTCTAAAAAGAAGAGTGGATGATTAATTTAACTCGCCTGTTGTTACTGTCTCTCACGTGTGCCATTTCTCCCTTGGTCTTACACCGCCTTTCATTTCTACTCCTACTCTAAAGATTTTGTGTTTTCACCTCTTTTTGAATTCATTCAGGCTTTTCATGACAACGTGGCGTGATTGTTCTGAAGAAAGCAAAGGAAGGCGTCAGTAGATGACGATGGAGATAGTGACAGCTAGTTTTGTGGCAGGGTGATTAGAAAAGAGAGATTGTTTCTTCTTTTTTTTCTAATGATTTTTCTGTTGTTGATGTGATTCATGTTTTCATAACAATTACATTCTAAGTGTAGACATTTTTTTCAGCCCATGGAGAGAAATAGATTGCTACTGTATGTGGCACTGAGTGTTCGGAGACATTAAAAGTGTTTTCAGAGACATAGACATGAAAAAGGATTAAAATATCTTGCCCCCCATTTAAAATTAAAACTCATTAGAAATAGCTAAGGACTTCAGAATATGTTAAAATTACTGTTTTGTTGTCGTCTATGTGATTTCTATTATTTTCTAGCAGGTCTGGTTGTGTCTTAAAGGAGAAGTCCAGTATTTTTTAGTTTATGATAAAATAGTGTGGCTAAGACCAAAATAGTGACGATTGCTCATTTTCTGAGAATTTGGCTTTCCCCTGCCTGGCTTAACACTGCTGCCTATGGCCATGTGTGAACTTGTCCTAAAACCACCCTGAATGTTCGTTTTCAAAGCCATGAGACTCATGTAGTGGTCAGTGGTGTTTGTTGATGTTCTGACATAAAAATCTTTTGATGTGTTTGAAATGTGCGTTGTATGTGTTTGAATTTAACTCAAAATATTGCTTGTCTCTGCAAACATACCCTTTCAATTTAGAATCAAATGCTCATCTGTCATGTTGTTACGGTTAAAACCACAGCTGAGAAAATGCATAGTTTCTTGCACTAAAGGCATTTCAGCACTCCAAACATAGTTGCAAGATTTGGAATGTCTTATCTTCGCAAAACAAATGCATGGTAAACATAAATACTGTCAAAAGAGTAGTACTCAGTAAATATAAGTTGGTGTTATTCTGATCTTTTTTCACAGAATGGCGTCAGGGTCGAGGACAGCGCATGATCCTGCAGGATGAAGACGTCACCACCAAGATCGAGGGTGACTGGAAGAGACTGAACATGCTGTACCATTACCAGGTACGCCTTTGACTTTATATTCTAAAATATGGACAAATGCAACCTGCATTAAACTAATGTCACAGCCCAAAATAAAAATAATATGCTTCCTTTGGGTCCAAGTTTGCCTATGGCGTGGAACACCTATAGACTTGTGTGCACATTTTTTAAAGATAATTTGGAATCAGAATTGACAGATACTGTGTGTTTAACTTTGATATTTCAGTAAAATTTCAAAGTCCTTGAAGTTTGAGAAATACAAAGGATTTGTTAAGTTTCAGATCTCACGAAGAAAGGAGTAAAAGAAGAAAGATCGCTATCTACAGAGACTTAGCATCCCCTGGAGCTTACAATGGATAGATTACATCTTTCAGTTGAAGGCATTCTTGAAGGAATTCACATCTTCTCTTCCAAAATAAGATATGATTGTTTTCATCCCAGTTTCACAGCAGATATATACAAACATAATGCTGAAACACATCTCTGAAACATTAACAAAAACAACTGATACCATGCACAAAGGCCTGATATGTAAACAGGCTTAGTTATTTGAACATTTATTTCTTACCACCCATCATCCCTCTCTACAGTATATCTAGCTGTCTCTGATGCCCCCTCAGCTCCCTTCCACCTTTCCCTCTAAAGCTGTGTGACCTCATGATCTGCTCTAAGCTCCAAACTATTCAGTGGACGATTCAGTCAAAGTACTTTTCCAGCCATTTAGTTGTGCAAGTCCTCAGCTGACAGGGACACCCCTCACACACACACACACACACACACACATACCATGAGTCATCTGTCAGGTGAAAGGGAGTGAGGCAGGGCGAGGCAGGGAAGTGACCAACAGCAGTGATACTTGGAAGTAATCCCATATGTGTGGAGAGGTGGAAAGATAAAATCTGATGTGCCGGCCAAGTGTCGTCGTCTTTCTGAAATGGATTAGAGTTAGCATAGATTTCATGTACAGAATAGACACATCGGTGGTCACAGACAGACACAGGGTACTGTATGCACACACATGCACAGTTAACAGCCCAATGGAAAGGATCAGGGTTGGACAATATGAGGAAAATATGCATACATTTATTAAATATTGTGATAACATTGCCACTTGCGATAATTAAACTGATAGTTAAGTGCACTCAGTCTTTGACTCAGACTTGCACAGTGCTTGTGCCACGTCATCTGTCTTGTAGCCAAAACATCGCCAAGCAGCTGACGTGCAGTATTTTTTTGGCACCACTTGCTGACATTCGGCTTTAGTCTGCAACTATCTTGTCACGCTTTCCTCCTTCATGACTCATTTCCACGTAGCTCTGTGTACGTATTCAAGTCAACTCGAGGTCCATTCATTCATATGAAAACCTCAGTGATATCCCACGTGTTTGCAAAACACCTCCTTCCATTTTTTTCTTTTCTTTTAAACTGTCCAGTATTTGCTTCAAGCACATTGAAAGCGTTTAACTTTTGCGGCAGATTTCGGACAGACTTTATACAACATTTCACAGGAAGTTAGCATAAAAACAAATTAGCCAACAGATAGTTGAATGTAATAAAGCATCACTTATACATTTTTCCTCAGTGAAAACGGCATGTTTAGCTGTTCGATATATGGAGTCTGTGCATAGTCAATCATTTGTCTTAACAAAGTATTTCACAAAACTGGCAGACCTTGCTCAGTTGTTACCATGAGTTATTGGTCCTGTTTCTGTGTCTGCACTGCTGCATGTGCATGTTCCACAAGACTAGGAGGTGGAAAATATTTAAAATTAACTTCCTGCCATTTCTATGGTGGTGTTTCTTTCCATGTGTAAAGAGGTGCATTTCATTGTGTTGAACACAAGGGGCATATTTCTTATACTGTATGGAGATATGGACAACAAAAGGAAAACTGTGGAGGTGAGGCATTAACCATGCAGATAGTACCACACTGTCCGCATTAATCTAATAATCTTACGATGCCTAACGGTAAGGGCTTTGTCTGATTTGCCAGAGTTAACAGCACAGTGCATTTCAGATAAAATACCGTCTACAGACAGAATTTAACTTGATACCTTATTACTGTATTCAAAGTGCAATATCACAGTCTTTTGCAATGTCTTTATCACACAAGTTGACAACGCAATGACAATAAAAAAGCAATATATTGCATAGCAAAGTAAGCGACACATGCATTTAGTTATTTTAACAGGCAGTTACAAGAAGATTTGCACAAAATACAAAGACATTTACTCATTATACACAGAAAAGCTTTTATGCAGAATGTCAGACAAACTCATATCTGCAGGTGTTCTGAGTAACGCCTATCCATCCGGCCAGCCAAAATGAGACCGGGTGGAAAAAAAAAAACAGGCCTGCCTTTTCAACATGGTGTTAATAATTTGAGCAGCTAAGCAAGCAGCCACTGTCCCCTCCAAGTGCAGTTTGCGTGGTGCCTAAATTAAATGTCAGCACCAGCAAGTGTCAACAGGCTTGGAGTACGAGGCGCGGGTGGAATGGATTAGGGAGCTGATTCGAATCCGAGATAAGATAATGAAGACAGAAGTTAATTCATTTTTTCAGGCCAGGGAATAAGGGCGCCTTATCCTTGACAGAAGCCAAAAAAAAAGGAAATACTCGCATCCACTTAAATTTTGTCAGGTGGCTACGCAAAGAGCGAGGGAGGGAGGGGACGCCAAAATCACAGTCAGACTGAAGTCAAGGGCAGCTGCAACTCAATACATAGCATTTCCACTCTTGTTTTTATAACTTTATTTTATTGAAATGTTAAATCTATAAGTAATTTAATTGAAGATCTTGTCGCTTTGCTAATCAAATCCATTATTCTGCCAAACCGGATGTGCTGCTGCATTTGGTCCTGGGATGCCCTGCAGACATCTTATCTACATATTTCTGGCCTCATTAGAAGCTAAAAAGACCAACCAGGCACACTCAATAAAATCATTTGTTCTCCTCTATTAAATGATTTGATTTGATGTGCCACTAGCCCAACTCACCCACTCAGTTTGCCTTCAGTTACGATGTGACAGTTTGCATCACAAACTTTGATTTTTTTTGCACAGGAAAACATCACATGGTAGCTACAAGCAAACATTTGGCATTTGCCATATCAGATCTTTCTGTCCCATAATGAGAGACATTTCTCTCCGCCTCCTCTCTTTGCAGGAAACTGCTCTCTGTTTTTATCCTCTCCTCCAAATGCTATTTCCCCAAATGCCACTCCTCCTTTTCATGTCCTATTGTGCTCTGCTCATTTTATATCCATTCAACATATAAGAGCAGTGATCAGGGAGCATGCTTGAGGGTGTTGGAGAGTTGGGGGCTCCACACAAAGGAATAACAAGATCTGCCCTGTGGGGCCCCCTGCTTACAATAATATAAACATATTATGCATAAGGAGCAGATTGAGTGACTGGGTGACATAATGATACAATCTTAATAAGGTCCCGGTTGCCGCACACACACACAAACACACACGTATACGCACAAAAGGCCCCTGGTCCTTATTCCCTGTCCCATACACCCACACTATGATAGAGATCACTTCAATTAACCCTGCCTTACCCTGCAGCACAAGTAGCCAGATTATGCAGAATAGCGGTATAGTTAGTGTGTGTGTGTGTGTGTGTGTGTGTGGGCACGGCTGGGACAGTGCACATCCCAGTTGTGTTAATTGAAACCCGTTTGGCTGACTAGGGGAAAAGGAGGGGCGCACAACTGGCTCATTCATTCATTTACACACACTTATTTACACATAGACGAACACAGACACACACACACTACTTGATTCTTCACACCTTCACACACACACTCTTAAACTCACACACTACCCAACCCTAGAGGAAAGGTTTTATTATTGAATAGAGACTGTGGGATATCCCCTCTCACACAGGCCCGTACGATGCTCTGCTAAACTCTCCCTCCCCCCTGTCAGTCATCATACGTACATGTGGGCTCAATAGAGCACATAACGGTAATAAGATATTCTTTGTTTATCCAAATGAAACCAGAATAGATGGGGGGAAATATAGAAAATGACACCAACTCAGTGATCTATGGGTTTTCTGATTGGCTGTGATAGAAATCTGCACAAATGAAAGAAACTCTGTAAATGGCTTTTGTTTTGAATAGTTATTTGAATAATACATGTGTGTCTGTTTTTCAGGTACCTGATAATGCGGTAATGGCCTTGGTTCCCAAGCAAGTTACAGCCTACAATTCAGTAAACAACTCCACTGTGTCTCGAACTTCTGCGAGTAAATATGGTAAGCCGACCTGTTTCTGTGCATCTACATGCGTCAGTAGAGTCTGTGTCAGAGAGCTGCTTTCCCAGCAGACCTAAAGGAATACTTCACCCCATAAATGGCCATTTATATATCAATTACTCACTACATGTTACCTTGAATTTGTTTTCTTGCATGCATCCCATGAATGAAGGATCCAGAAATGGAGAGAGTTCTCGAATTGTTATTGGAGTCCACGTTTGACAACAGCAAAACTATAGATAAGCTTTAGACATAGCAAAGATAAGTTTAACTTTCAGTTAGTCCCTTGTCGGAAAATGCTGCCTGTTTGGGAAGTATTGAGCATACGACTGGATAAATGTGAGAGTTTGTAAATGGAGGTTTGATGTGATTTTGCTGTTGTTACACCAGACCCCTTTTACCTAAATTTGTCAAGAATTTTTTAACGTTTTTGGATTCTTTGTTCACCAGAAGCATGCGAGAAAACACCAAATATTCCTCTTGTATTCAACCCAACAAAGGATGAGTAATTTCTATACAAATGGGCATTTGAGAATGAGGGATTCATTTAAGAGCAGGCACATACAGTATGTTTGAAACTACATGAGTGGTCATCTTAAGTGCTATATCGTAGGCAACTACACTTGCTTGAGTTTCTTGAAGACGTTTCACCTCTCATCCAAGAGGCTTCTTCAGTTCTAATGACTGGTGCAGAGTGGCAGGATTTAAACTATGTGTGGGTGTCGTTGATTTCACATATGAGCTCTTAGTTTCAGAGTCATTAAGGTCACGTTGTTGACCCACCTGGCTATCGTGTGTTGTTAGGGTAAGATGGGACTAAGTGTGAATGGATGTGAAGTCGTCTGGGGAGGGATCCCAAGACAGCATTGTAGGTGTGAGATAAGTTGTGTCTCAGGCCACCTCCTCTGTTTAATGATGGTCATTCCAGTTTGATGTAGATGGCTTCTTTCATGCCTCTTTCAAACCATCTCTCTTCTATGGCCAGACGACATTGCTGTCCTCGAAAGAGTGTCCCTTCTCCTTTAGATGTACGTGGACAGCTGAGTCTTGACCTGACGAGCTGGCTCTCCTGTACTGTGCCGTTTCTCAACGACTTTATAACGGGTCACTACTACACAGAGTTTAAAGCCTGTGACACTGCACCAGTCATTTAGAACTGATGAAGCTTCTTGTCCAGTTGCCTATGATACAGCACTTACATAACCATGACCTGGATGACTGAGAATATTCACCAATACATGTGCAGTCCTTATAAGCAAAACTGCATTTGAGAAAGTCATTTAAGTCAATAAAATCATAGACAAAATATAAATATCAAATATATTTCTATAAATTACAGTAGTATTAAATAAGAATAGATCTGATCCCACAGCAGTGAATGTGCCCACCTGAGAGTGGAAATCTGGTGACAAGCTTCCACAGGACCCTACATGACAACATTGACAGACCTGGAAAAACAAGATACAATTTTAGAGTAGCTGAAAGGATTTCTAAATCATAACAAGACACCAAATAGACTTTTCATCTGTTGTCCTGGCCTCTTGAGTCTCCAAAGTGTGTCCTCTCATCCTTCCGTGTGCCAGTGTTTTTTCCCCCTGTCCGTCTGCTCCACGTCTCCTTGAACCAGAGAAACCACCAAGTTAGTTGCTGATCAAAGGACCGGCCTCGCTGGCCACAAACACTTCAGACACATCAAATGTGGTGCCACATTATTAGCATGGGCTCATCTCCATACGGTCTCACCTCGCTTCTGCGGCTCCAAATTAGAGCAGATAGGACAAGGTGAGCGGCGCAACAGAAAAGGGAGGGAGGAGGCCAGGAATATCTCCCTCCGCAATTTTTTAAAAAGGGATTGACTTCAAACGCAAGTGTGATCCACTTTACAACTGGTGTGGTACTTGAGAGTGACTTTGAACTCTCCGTGAGTACAATGGCCAGATAGCGAAGAAAGAGACAAGGCTGAATTTAATATAGCTGCTGAAGAGGGGCAGGGAGAGCGGAGCAGGAGAGAAAGTTGTGGAGAAAGTGGAGATTAAGACAAACACTGTGTAACATGTTGAGTCAGACTATAAAAGGAGAAACTCTCGGTCTTTGATGTGATGTTTCCATCAGAGAAAAATAACACCTCCTTTGTGTGGATCAGAATAGAATCCAACCAGAAATCTCTCTCCTGTGTATCGTACTCTGCCTCAGCTTTCTAACTTCTTGAATAAACCATTAACACAAAATGGATGTACTACCCGATCTATCTCTCTATAAAGACCTAGCTCACATCCTCTTGTACCCACACAACCTCAAAAACAGGACATTTAGTGTCACACGTGTCCAGCGTCCTTGAAAAAATACAAGTAATAAGACAGAGAATACTTGACACAGGTCTCGTCACAAAGCTTCAGTTAAATACTGCTCGCTGAGGAGCCTGAAAGCAGAGACAAACATTTTCAGTGGATCATACTGTAATTAATTTTGAGCAGTCGACACACACAGACACTCACACATTCTCTGTATCTGATGTCTCCAGCTGTCTCTTTCTCCCTGAACTCTCTACCCCCTTACACTTCTCCTGCTTTTCTCTCTGGACAGATTGATTTCTGTCACGGTGGAAAAACACTCTTTTTTTTTTTCCACTCCTCTCTCTAAACCGCACCCACTGATCAATTTTTTTTCACACTGTGTAAACATTCATTGAGCCATGTGTTTGGAAATGTCATCACCACTCTGGCCATTGGGTGGGCCATACATATTTCATCTCGTCTGACACCTGTTCGATTTTGTGTCAGGCTCCAATGCCATGTCTTGTCTCTGGGAGAAGGAGCCATGAAAAATTAACCATGCACACTTTCTAAAAGTTTCATATCTAATCTCCCAGACCTGTAAATTGGAAGCCACAAGCCAAAAAACTATATTCTGTTGCTGACATGCAGGTTATGGCTTTCTACGCTTGTTTAGTGAAGCGACAGATTTGTATTTTTAGTGGGGTTTTGTTTTTTGTAAGCTTTATTTTCGTCTTGTTTACCTCACACATTGCCCTGAGTGAAGGGGCAGTTCACCCCCCAAATCAAAAATACATTTTTTCCTCTGGCCTACCTCCCATAGTGCTTTTTATCAACCTAGATTGGTTTGGTGTGAGTTGGGGAGTGTTGGAGATATCGGCCGTAGAGATGTCTGCCTTCTCTCAGCTTGTAGTGCTCAAAATGCCAAAAATAATAATAATTTAAAGACCCAATGGCAATGTGTCTCTACAGAAATCCTGACCTGGTACTCATGATAATCCACAGACCTTGTCATCAGTTGTGCCCACCAGAAATTTTTCAAAGGTGTTGACAGATGGGGCCACTGAAAATCTTGGCTAGACACAGCAAAATCAAAAGCCATGACTGAATTTCAGGAATTCGCTTATGCTGAAGAAGTATCTGGGTTAGTTGAAAACTATGTCAATATGGGGAGTTAAGGAATGGCATACTGATGTACTTTGGTTTCTTTTTATCACAGATAACATTGCTAATTATCTGATGAACACACATATGACAGCACAAATTAGCTAGCTCAGTGGTGCTAGGTGAGCTAGCTGTAGATGCGTGCTCCCTCTCCATGGTGATATGGTTTATGGGTGTAGTTCAGTAGAACGAGGATAGTTCTTACAAGAAACTCAAAACAAGGTCTGTGGATTATTTTGAGTAACCAGGTCATGAGTTCAGACACATTGCTGTTGAGTTTTTCCAAGTATGTTTTTGGTGCTTTGAGAAACACAAACCAAGTGCCATCTAGTTCCATTATATTCAAGAGAAGGTAGACATCTCTATGGCCGATATCTCCAGCACTCGGCATCTCACACCAAAACAATCTAGACTGATAAATTGCACTACAAGTAAGAGGAAAAAATATGTATTTTTGATCTTATGTCCAGTGTCTCAGTGTCCTCTCTGTGATGACCTTATCTTTCTGATACAGGCAGGAAAAACTCAACAGTTTACAGATTTTGTAGTTGTACATAAATGCTAATGAAATAGATTCCCATTATATCTCACTGTAAGAAGTTACAAACCAATGGGAGCTTTACTGATGCTACAAGAAAACAAACACTGGTTGGACATTGTGGTTTTCTGATCAGTTATACCAGCACGACATGAACGAATACATGTTTTTGTTCACAGAGAACATGATCAAGTACACTGGAAGCCCCGACAGCCTGCGCTCTCGTACTCCTATGATCACTCCTGACTTGGAGAGTGGGGTCAAGGTTTGGCACCTTGTGAAGAACCATGAGCATGGAGACCAGAAGGAGGGTGACCGCGGCAGCAAGATGGTCTCTGAGATCTACCTGACACGACTTCTGGCTACCAAGGTGAGCCTTAAGTGAAAATATAATTTATTTCTCCTGTTACACTCACTCTTTATTTGGATAAGTTGCATTTTGAAGGGCATGTTATTAAAAAGCAAAAAAGGAAAAGAGTTTTACTGTTGTCTGAACAGTACGTGGAAATTATTTTTATTTTTCTCGAAGCAGTTCAGCAAGTGAAAGGCTAAAAGGTCACTATAACCTTCACCTTGTGATACCATGACTCAGAAACCCTTCACTTTATTTAAATATTCATATTTACTTTGGATGAGTCATCTCAGTGGGAAACATTATTCAAATGTATTCCTCTATCCCCTCAGGTGAGAAAGAGAAAATAGATATTTCTGTTTGTTTTCTCTTTTCATTGCTGTTGCGTTGACGCGGCAGCATATCAAAAAGGGTAAAGAAGAAAAGATCCATGAAGCCAGCGAAGGAGTTTCTGTAATAAAAAAAATTATCAGGCAAAAATAGAAATGGCTATAAAATGAGTCTCTTTGAATGTGCCTCCCGACAATGGCCTCCAGAAAAAAAGCAGTTAATTTGGTTTGGAGGGAAATGTGACTTTGATCCAACAGCTGAATGCAAATTTCCAATCCACTCCTAAATCACCTTCTTCCTCTTTTTTTTCTGTCAAGACATCCATTTTATCAGACACAGACAGAGGCATACAGGGAAGGTAAAACATAAAGAGAGGCTACGATCTGAAAATGTTCAGACAGTAATTTTTTTGATTCAGGAACATTTCAGTTTATTTTTGATCCCCTGCCTGCCTTTGTTTAGCAGTTCACATACAGAACATCAACTCAGTTCTGTGTATGTAATGTAAATAGACAGTGGCAGGAGTCTGAAACAGAGTGCCTCATACACACAGTAAACAGCCACAGAAAGACGAAGCAGGTGAATAAAAATAAAATAAAAATAAAAAGGTGAATGTTTGGCTATTATTAACAGACCAAATGAGACTCGTATGTCACGGAGGTTCACGAGCAACACTAATCAATGAGACATGTTTGGCAAGTCCACCTTATCTTTAAGTCATGACTTCAAGATAATATGCTAACAAGTCCAGAGTTTTTTGGTTTGTTTCACTTTCCTACTCCGTCATCATCAAAACAGAGTCTGTCTGCAAACCTGCGTGACTTTCCTGCGACCACTGTGGCCATATGTGGAAATTACAGCCTGATGCTTAAAGCTGCTTTCACACATGACCTTAGAAAAGTGGGTGTAGCCTCCAAGTCTAGAAAAGTGAAGCCAATGCGAAAGTTCCTGAAACCCGCATTCTTTCTAATGGCCAGCAGGAGGCGACAACACTGGTTGCAAAAAAAAAAACTTTGATCGTATAGAAGTGTATGATAAAATGGACCTGTCTCTCACTTGATTTGTTACCTCCGTAAACATTCTCCTAACAAATTTATGTTCTCACTCGCTAGTTGCAAGTCTTCATCAATACAGCACAATGTTCATTTTGTAAATTATGGTCCCAATTTGAGAAGCATAGACCGTAAAGCAGGGTATGCTTGAGGCCATAGCTACCTTATGGTTGACAAGTTGCAACCACAGTGGTGTCTTCGTGTTCTCAGTCAGCTCCACCCTCTTGTCCAAATATGGTCACTTCTTGCTCCAAAAAACCAAGATGGCAACAGCCACAATGCCAAACTCGTGGCTTCAAAACGTTAATCCACAAACCAATGGATGGTGGCCACCAACCACTGGCTACATCCACTTCTTAGTCTATGCCTTCACATGATAAGACAGTTGGAAGATCGTTGGTTTGATGTGGCTCCTCCAGTCCGCAAGTTGAAGTATCCTTGGGGTAGATACTGAACCCCAAATTGCTCCAGATGGCTGTTCCTTCAGTGTGTGAGGCAGGTGGCACCATGTATGGTAGCCTCGGCCACCAGTGTGTAACTGTGCTTTGAGTGGTCGGAAGACTAGAAAAGCGCTACAAAAGTGCAATCCATTAACCATTTACTATTCACCAAAAAAATAAATATTAAATAAATAAATAGCTAGTACAAAATAAAGCATATATTTTCTGTTAAAAAGTACAGATGTTGGAAGACTGCAAGAAGGGCAACCAGTGTGTAATATTTGGCATGGTTTATTGTCAATCTGAATCTGAATCTGAATATTCTACCCATTAATATGTTTATACAAGTGTATAATCGCTATAAAATAAAATTTGTTTGGTTTTCGTAGACTTATAATTATGCTTTTATATTTATATATAGCAAGGGCCTTGCTTTAGAGAGGTCGCCATCTTGCGCCGCCATGTATGTACGGCAGACTGAGCGGACAATCCAGCCAGCCAGAGAACGCGTTTCGCGTGTATAAATGAACCAACGAAGACAGCGGAAGGAAGGAAGAAGGAGGAGGAAACAGAAGAGAGTGTTAGTAGGTCGTCGATAGAGAGTAGTGAAAAGTTGTTTTAGTTATAAAGTTTGCGAATGGACCACACTTACCACGCAACAGGAGAGAATGAACCCGAACCGTCATCTGCGAGGAAAAGAAGACGCAACTTCACTCCTTGTGATGCACTCTCTGTGGCGCTTTTCCTCCTGATGATATATCTCCCCAACAATGGCAGCAGTAGCACCGAATCCCATTCTGTGCATTCAGCCTCTCTTCTCGCCAGCTCAGCATCAAACACATGGAGTTCCTCATCTGTATGCTCCGGCTCAAACAGGTATGGCTCTGGGTCTGTGTCCGCTACAAGAAACTCTTCAAAATCGCATTCAAAATCGTCCATTGCAGCTACTATAGTCCGGAGATATTGCTAGGCTAAATAAACAGCTGAGCTCTGTTTACCGGCTACGCTGTCAGTCAGTGTGCGGGCTGGAGATTGGCGGAGCAGAGAGGGGAGGGGGTCCCCACTCGGTATGGTAAACAAGTATGTGTGTATGAAGTGTGTGTGTTACGCTAGAAGAGTCAGAGTTTGGGACGGAGTCTTTTACCCCCTGGAGTGTTACTTTGTTTTTGGAGTGCTCAAATAAACTGGCTTTTTTCCCGAACGCTCCTCTGGTCTCCTGCTCGTGAGGGATTCATTACAATATCATAACATGGCTTAGATTTCTAAATAAACATTCACCTCGTCGCTAGATAGACCTACTCATGAAAAACTTGTGTGCAAGGCTTTTTGTCCCTACAGAACACTGCTTAGTCACTTAATGACCAGCCCACCCGAAATCCACGATATTTTGTGGGTCAGACGACCTAGGCATCACTACTACTGGTCATACCAGACCAAGTAAGGTTGTACCAGGAAAAAAAGCTCCTGAAAGTACTTGAGTAAGAAGAGTGCATTTTATTTCCAATGACTTAAACTTTGCATTTTGAAGATTAAAAAAATTGTTATTTCCTCTTTAATAAATTGTGTAGTATTCCTTTAAGAAAAAAATGGATCATTAGCAGACCACACACACAGATGCAGTTGTTACTTAACACCAGAGAAAATGTAGTGAAACACAGACATTACAAGCAAGTCAGACAACCAACTAAACACCCTCTGTTAATACTTTGGAGAACAAATGACTCCAGATGTGTGTGCAGACGAACAAAATCAGGTGATCAATTAAATCAGAAGACTCAGACAGTGAAAGAAACAACATGCCAAGAGAGGTGTGACAGTGTGTGTGAAGCAGACACGATAAGCAACATGTGAAAGAAAATAAACAAACTGGAGACTGCAGAATAGGAGGCAGGAGCAGCTGTCACCATGACACTTACTATATAGCCCTCCACACACATGCGCACGTCACCTCTCGGCCTCTGTGAGCCGCTCTATTTCCCTGCCATTATCCCATTCCAGAGTGCAGGAAGGTGGATTCTGACTGCAGACAGCACATCATCTTTCCAGATGGATTGTTTTTGTGAAATAACCAGTTTATCTTGGCCGGCCATCTCTCTTGGTGAGAAATGATTGGGCAGACAGGCAGTGTAATTGACTGCGTTTGGCTTTCACCTTGCCAATAAATACCTCTCCCTGGCAACGCCGCTGACGTCTCTCATATTAGCTCCATCAGTGTCACTCTGACTGAGTGTGGGTACAGGGCGTAGTCATGTGTGTGGAGAGCGGAGAGGGCACAGGGAAGGATTGCATTTTCTTCTCTCACTGTTTCACTCGAGAGAGAGTGTGTGTGTCCATCTCTCCCTCACGTTTTCCCTCCTTCATCTCTCTATCTGCTTCAGCGCCATCCCCAACGTTCTGATTGTTTGCTTTCCTCTCATTTCAATGTGGAGGCAGATGGCATCAAAACATCCAGATGACACATTGTGTTTAGATCGCCGTCTAATGACAGGGTAGATAGTCGGGGGGGCGATGTGTTGGCAGTTTCAGCTCCACCGGGGAACAAGAGAACCCTGTGATGATGACTGTGTTGATGCATACGTCCCCCTTGAGATAGGGAATGACGTAAAAAATGTCACAGCCTCAGCACTTGTAGGGACACACGCTGGTTTCAGTGTCTACGCACACATGAATGCATGCACACAAAATGTTCGGTCTCCCCTCGCCAGCTAATGCAGACTGTCACTTGGAAGGCACGTGGGCTAGATATAGAGATATGTAATTCCATCTTCGTAGAAAAACGATAAGCTGTCGGGAATGTGGGCCACATTAGAATTATAGCCGTGATTGTCGGACTAACAGGATTCTCTCTTCCCACTCTCTTCTACCTCTCTTGACTCCGTGATTCGGTCACCCGCTCCAACCCAAATTGGATTTTTATTTGCCAGTGCCTGTACACACCTCATCTGCCACACTCAATGGCCTCTTTTCCTGATAGGAAACCTCTGTCGTTTCATTTCCATCCTTCGCCCTCGCCTTTTCCCGTGCATCCCACCAGCTCATTCTTTACAAGAGGATTAGATTCTCTCACTCTCTGTCTCTCCTCTCTCTTCTCCTCCTCCTCCTTAAAGTCGCCAACATTAAATCAAATTAGGGTCAATGGTGCAGTGTGGGAGCTAATCCGGCAGCACAAAGAGGCTTAGGAGATGCGCCTCCTGTTCCCAGATATTATTAAAAGTCAGCTGTGAAATAACAATTTCCCCCATCAAAGCTGCAAGCAGATTTAGGGGCCAGGTCTGCAAGATAGGAGTCAGACACATAAACATCGGAGCTCAGGGACAAAGTGACATGCACTGCCAACTCATAAACTCGCACAGGAAAAAATAAACACAAGTTTATACCAATCTGTCTGTCACCTGTAGGCACCGGAATGCTGCAAAATGTATTAGACAGTGACAATCTCATTCTCTGGTTCTGTGGGTCCAGTTCAATATAGATACTGGCTTAACATACAGATATTGTACAGTTGTTGAGACTGGAGCTTGTTATTGTGCCGTACATTTTCATATTGCATTTAAGTCACTGTTATTGGTTTTGATATTGTGTTCCTTGTTCCTTCCTATGTATGTACTGGATCAACTAGTTATCACCTGTAAGATTGTTTAAAGGTCCAGTGTGTAGGATTTAGCGGCATGTAGCAGTGAGGTTGCAGAACTGAAACTTCTCCTGTGTGTAAAGTGTGCAGGAGAGCTACAGTGGCGGATGTGAAAACGGTAATAGCCCCATGTAGAGCCAGTGTTTTGTCCATTTTGTGACTGTAGAAACAACATGGCGGACCCCGTAGAGGAAGACCCGCTCCATATGTAGATATAAATGGCTCATTCTCAGGTATCAGAAGCACAACGATTAAAAACCAATGAAAACATAGTTATGGTTATTGTATATCTGCCAACAGATGTCCCTATGTCCTACACACTGCTCCTTCAAGAAAAAACTCTGTAGTTTAGGGCTTCAAATAATCTGTTTTTCCATCTCTCCTCTCCGTCCTCTGCAGGGTACGTTACAGAAGTTCGTGGATGACCTGTTTGAGACCATCTTCAGCACGGCCCATCGAGGCAGCGCCCTGCCACTGGCCATCAAATACATGTTTGACTTCCTGGACGAGCAGGCCGACAAACACAACATCCATGACCCGCATGTCCGACACACATGGAAGAGCAACTGGTGAGTTGAGCAGTTCTAGCATACCTGCAGACACAGAAACGTGCATACACACACATCTGGTCAGGAGCGCTTAAGAAAGTAGCGAGGCAGTTACTTGGACCTTTGAAGGACACAAAATTGATTTCATTATTAGCTGACCAGTGTGGTGCCTTTGGCGCTCCATTAATGGCCTATTTAATGCACTGCAGACACAATCAGTACATTTTGGCACATTTCACATGGCATTGCCCTGGTATTGCCCTATGTCAGTGCCAAGCTTCACCACACGCCTCTTCCCTTCCTAATATCCATTAACCACAGGGGCGTGTAATCTTCATTAAAGCCAACCACAAGGGGCTAATCCAATTGGCTGCCAAGACTCTCCATCTATTATCATGGATAACTGGGCCAAAAAAAGCCTGTCACTGTGGAAACCTCCATAGTGACAAATGTGTGCTCCCAGGTGAAGGAAGTGTACCTCTAAATTAATATCTGCTGATTAATTTAGACCATAGTGACCTCTGTGCGCCCACCTTAAGACGTTGGCAGGGGTTAAATAACCAGCAGTGCACCAGAATGTGGTGAGGGGAAAAATGAAAAGGTGAAGAAAGGGAAGTGAACTCAGTGGGAGTTAAACGCACACTAATATCTCATTAGCCTTCTGGCCTCTGCCAAGATCCCAGCATGCATCACTCAGCCCAAGGCTCAGGGGGACCATGGAGATGGGAGGATAAAACTGATGTGCATCAAGGGACAAATAGAAAGATAGAAAGATGGAGGGAGGAATGGGTAAGGAGAAGCTAAAGACGGGGGAGAAATATTATTTACTTTACGCTATGGTCCTAATTTTGGTCCTTTTCCTGCGTCTGCGTTATTGGGCCATTTGCAGCGTGTGTTAAGTGTTTTCTGAGAGCGCAACGGGTCGCTTTTACATTAGACTTTTAATGGAATGGGCTCTCACTAGAAGGCTGTGAATGAATAGCAATTTATCATAACACACCATCACAAAAAGCCACTTAGATTGCACACAACAGTTTGTGCCAATGCCACCGTAGATATCTTCTCTATGTGGGATGTGCATATGTCTGTGCCTTTTCACTTCTCACTGTGTGTGCTTACCCGTGACCTTTAATCGTCTCAAAAGAGTGCAATTTTGGCTGCAACAAAAGCGTTCATTTTGTCTGATGGTACAGAATAATAATGCCAGTGCCCCTCCCATCCAGGGCCCCTGTCCCATTAAACCTACCAGGCCCATCGCCATCATACACACCATTAACTTCAACCCATCACAGCAGCGAGGGCCCCTTCATCCCACCACTACCCCCACCTTCCCTTCAGGGTTTCCCCGTCATCAGAGCTCCACTGTACATCCCTTTGATGTAGCCCCTGAGCATGTAGTGCCTCAGGGCCCATATTGTTACAAGTTTGCTTCTTTCATCGTGATTATATCATTTTATCTATAAAAGACCAACTAACAACAGTGAGTTTTAAATATTATTAGCAGCTTTATGAACAGAGGGTTTGCTTTGCAGAAACCAGTGGTTCCCAACTGGTCCAGCCACGGGGTCCAGATTTTTCCTTCGTCATACTTTGTTTAGTTTTTCATACTTATGGTGTCCAACTGATCTCAGATAGCTAGGAGAAATTAAAAATGCATACCAAACAAAAGTTCAGATCTCAGAAGAATACTGGTCTTTATGTCTCCACACAAGCGATAGCTCTGGCATTATGACTTCATGTTGTCCGTCCCATTCTCGTGACCATTATTTCTGAAGAACACCACAAATACTTTTTTTTTTTCAAATTTGGCTCAATTTGGACTTAACAATGAACAGGTTACATTTTGGTGGCCGTAGATCAAAGGTCGATGTCACTGTGACCTTGCATCCACCTCATTTTAATGAACATGATATCTTAAGGCAGCCTCAGATTTGGCACCAACATCAACTTTGACTTAACGAAGAACGGATTCGATTTTGGTGGCCATAGATCGAAGGTCAATGTCACTGTGACCTTGCGTCCTTCTCATTTTAATGAACATGATGTCTCAAGACAGCCTCAAATTTGGCACAAACGTCCATTTGGACTCAAGTATAAAGGAATTAACGTTTAGTAGTCAAAGTTAAGGTCACTGTGGCCTTCTCATTTTAATGAACGTGAAATTAAGACTGCCTCAAATTTGGCACAAACATCCATTTGGACTCAAGTACAAAGGGATTAACTTTTGGTAGTCAAAGTCAAGGTCACTGTGGCCTCATGTTTTTGACCATAAATCAATAATTCATACAAAAATTCACACAAATGTCTAACAGAACAAAAATGATAAAGTGCCATTTTATATCCAAAAGGTCAAAAGTCGACTTCACTGTGACATCATAACGTTCTACAGAAACACTTTTCTGGCCATTACTAAATGTCAAAACTCTGAAACGAAAGGGGAGACATTTGATTGGATACTGACTTATTTTGGGTGTCCAGCTGAGGTGTCCATGTTTTAGAATCAGTAGCGTCTTTGCAGCAACATTTGGAGCACTGTCTGCTGTCATGGTAACATATGTGTCTGGACAGACATGGATGTAAACTGTAACTGCAGCTTGACTGGTTCATAGAGGCATACGGCCATAAGGCGATAATTCTAGTTTATATGTGTAATATCTGAGAACAGTGTGGACATGTATAATGTTTTTATAAAAAATGGTAGAAAATAGTTGCACTGGCATGATTCTTGCCTGCTTTCAGAGCTATACATTTTAGACGTTTCATTGATTTAGCACAACATCCACACACTCTTGAGACCTGGAAGAAAGCTTAAGATGGTCTCCAGGGTTTACTCTAACCCAGGAAATCATCTATGACCCCTCTCAACGCAAGGTCATCCCTCACAACATCTGCCTCTGCCCCTTGAATTACATTCAAACTACCTTTGTGTACAGTGTATCAATGTTTTTGGAGTAAACAGTTCGGTGTCTATGAATTTTAATTGGGCAAGTTAAAATTCAGTTGTTTCTGGGCTGTGTGACAGAGCTGTAATGTGTATTTGTGTGTGTGTACAGTGAGTGTGTGCACGCATGAGTCACTGGCTCCAAGAGCATCTCCAGATGGTATCTTTTGGATTAGCGGCAGCGTGTCAGCGTCTCCTCTCATCCTCACTCTTCTGTATTTGGTGTCTGTGTGTGTGCGAGTCTCTGTCTGCACCGTGTGTTTGTCATTTCGGGTTGCAACAGACGGAATTTTAATTATTGTGTAGAACTGGCACACACTCCTCTTTTCTGCATGCAGATAACCACCTATCTGCTGTCACACACCAGCCCCACCCCTCTCAGACTGTCAGAGGGTAACTTTAGTATCTTTCAACCTGGGCCCTATTTTCCCATGTTTCTGTTTCTAAGTGACTAATGGGAACAACAGTTTTTGAAATGGGTCCAGTATTGAGCGAGAGCACTGCAGCCATCAGCCGTGAAACAGGCTGCGATGTAACATAAATGGGCAAATGTGTACTGTCAATTTATGTCCACTAAAAGTGCTTGTTTTTGCCACCGACAGGCTCAGATTGTTTTACTAAATGTCTGACAACTCTGTGGACAGAACCCTACAGAGATAGACCTTTTTGTTTAACCTGAAACAGCCCCACAATCACTATCACCAAACCCACCAGTCTCCATTTAAATAAATAGTAAATAGTAAATAGTTTGGTTGAAATAAACCCTTAATTCAATAAGTGAGATGCGAAAATGTGTGCACTCTATACACGCTAAAATTACTGTTTTTTTAAATGGAGTCTGGTGGGTTTAGTGATGCTGATTTTGGGGCTGTTTCTAGTGAAATAAAAAGGATCTTACTACCATACAAAATATTTATCTCTGTAGTGATTCGCTCTATATTGTTGTCAGACACTTAAAATGACAATTCGAGCCTATCAGTGGCAAAACAAGCACTTTAAGTGGACGTAAATTGACAGTGCGCAAATGTGCATTTTATTACAGCCAATTTCACTGCTGTCTTGCTCAGTACATGACCAGTTTAAGAAATGGTGGTCTCAATTAGTCACTTAAACATGGGAAAAATACAGGTTAAAAAACACATAAGTAACCCTTTAATGGCATTATGAAGACTTTTAGAGTTGAGCTAATTTTCTGGAACTAGTAAAATTGCGCAGTTCAACTTTTGGGAAAGTTCTCGGTGAGTTTAAGCCCCTTGTCCGCACATACAGCTCGTCCAGTAAAGGATCACAACTTGCCTCTCACATGAAAGGTTTTGCCTTTTCCCCCACTGAGGTCCAGCTGGAACAATGCCCAGTCAGGTCACCTTTATAAACCTGTTAATTCAAACCTTAGGTCGCTGCATGAGAAAGGTCAGGTTCGGTCAGTTCCCAGCCTGTGCTGTAATGCCTCTATTGGGATGCCCTGGATCACAACATCTGTGACCCGAGCAACTTCATTAGGCCCGTCTGCAGGAACGGGACAACATCCCACAACTGCTGATTGAGAGGCTCACTGGCTCCGTGTGCCAGAAGTGTCAATAAGTGCAGACTGCAAGAGACAGCTAGACATGGTACTGAAGGCCTGTCGGGAGAGTCTGATAGTGTGGACATGTGTTCCCTTTGTTTTTGTCATTTGCAGTATAGTGGCTGTCAAAATATTAAGAGCCAGGTCTGATAAACAGTAAACAGAGCTTGGGCTTGTTTGGCTGATTGACAATTCGAAAGTTGGGTGAAGTCAGATGCTTCTTTTTAAAGCAGTGGGTAAACACTCTCTTAAACCGGTTAGATTTTACAGCACTTTGTATTCTTGAATTGACGGGCAGGGAAATAGTCTATTAATAAAAGGGCCTCTCCTGACTCTGCCAGCATAATGTCTCAAGGATAAGAGATGCCCTTGATCTTGGCAGCTGATATTTAACCTAATCCCTGACCAAAAGGACTGTTCATGGTCATTCGTCAGACTTTTGAAACTGCTCAGCATGAGCTAACTGCTGATATATTATGTGCTTTGCCTATTTTTAACACAATAGATAATATGTAGATGTTATTATGGTGATCAGTTTGAATCATATGGGGCCCAATGACCCTTTGAAACACTGCGTACCTCAAAGCACGGGCAGCTGGGCACATTGTCAACAATCAAGGCAGCACAGCAGTGGTGTTAATATCCCTTTGATCCGTGCATCTAATCCCACTAGATTCTTTGCTTAGATTAATTTTGAAGTCATACTGTAATGCAGAGTTTTCCCAAATCCTCTTTTGTTAGATTGTACATCTGAATGGCTTTGTGGGTGCACTGGGATAAACGCTTAGTGGGATGGTAAGGGAGCACCGCTGGTATTTAAATGATTGCATTTCAATTTTTATTGTTTCATTTCCCCCTCATCCTTTGATATTGCGCCACACTGAGACACTCCTATGCAGGTTAGACTGCAGTGTCCTTCCTGTTTGATTTTTGCCACATCAGCTAAAAGCGCATAGATTGTAAAGATATAGAGATCCAAGTAACACTCAGCTCTTTCTTAATACCACCTGAGCCCTTTTCACTGCAACACACAGATAAAGCCGGCCCTATATCTCTTCATTTTGGCAGAAACAAGCCCAGCAAATAAACAGACTTGTATATTTTTATTATTCTGGACAGGCACAAAACAGGACCCACTTGCACAAACAAGGCAATATGAACTGTGTCACTGTGCGGCCCCCAGCGAGGACCCCCGGACACTGCTGGAAAAAACAAGAGCCAGCCACCACCTGGTTTTAAAGATAAAGGCTTTATTGAATTGAGCACACACATCAAATAGAGCACATCGGCAACAGCAGGGCCTGTGTACTAGCTTTGCAAAGTGAATGAATCCTCGTCCCCCTGCTGGCGCTTAATATGTTCATGTCTATTGCCTGACTGGCTGTAGCAAATACAGAAATGGCATTTAGGGACTTAATCTCAGAGCAGTTCAAACGGACACACACTGCTGTTTTACTTAACACTCTTTGTTCCTCTGTTTGTCCGGCTATTTGAGCACTCTGTCACTGAACAATCTATACAATAGTATTTTTAATGACAACATGCACACAATGACATTTATAATTTTGTTTCAGTAGCTCTTTGAATCTTTTTACTGGTTGACATTTTGTTGCAAATTCAGTTGTGTTTTCAGTCTTATTGTGGGAACGTGAAATATTAAATACTAAAGGTCCAGTTTGTCGGATTTACAGACGTCTATTGACAGAAATTGTATATAATATTCATAACTATGTTTCCATAAGTTTATAATCACCTGAAAATAAGAATCATTGTGTTATTGTCACTTTGGAATGAGCCATTTATATCTAAATACAAAGCAGGTACTCTTTCACTGAGTCTGTCATGTTTCTACAGTAGCTCAGAACAGACAATTCAAACACTGGCTCTAGATCGGGCCATTCACATTTGGCACATGAGAGAAGTTTTAGTTCTGCAGCCTCACTACTACATCCCACTAAGTCCTACACACTGGACCTTTACAACTTCAGGAAACACAAACTTGAAATGAAATTGGCTGCAGCACACCATCGACCATTGTTAGACAGCAATGATAAATAAATGAAGGCGACTAAACTTGTATTATAGTAGTAGTTGTAATTTATTTAAGTATTTATAAACAACTTTCCAAAAGGAAGGCACATATAAAGGAATAAATGACTATAAGGCAATAAAGAAAAAGAAAAATGTGTACCTACACATTTGTAGTTATCATGTAGTTATCTAAGACTTTTGTCTTAGTGAGCACTTCTCCTTTTCTAAAGAATCCATTTACTTAACAGGTGCAACAAATCAAGATGCTAATTAAATAGCACAGTTACCACACAGGTGTGCCTTGGGATGGTCACAATAGTAGGCCACTCTAAAATGTGCAGTTTAATCACACAACACAATGCTACAGGTGTGTCACGTTTTTAAGGAGTGTGCTGTTGGCAAAGACAAAAACGACAACAACAAAAAGAAAAGCAGAAACAAAATTAAGTTCCAAATGTTTCATGCCCAGTAATACTACTACGAACATGCCATTTATCTACTCTGTCCTCTTTCTCCTCCTCTCCGCAGCCTACCTCTGCGTTTCTGGGTGAATGTGATCAAGAACCCCCAGTTTGTGTTTGACATACATAAGAGCAGCATCACAGATGCCTGTCTGTCCGTGGTGGCCCAGACCTTCATGGACTCCTGCTCCACCTCAGAACACCGCCTTGGGAAGGACTCACCCTCCAACAAGCTGCTTTATGCCAAGGACATTCCCAGCTACAAGAGCTGGGTGGAGAGGTGAGTGCTGATAAATGTACACACCTAACACTGGATAGATGAGGAGCGTAAGTGTGTGTGTGTGTGTGTGTGTGTGTGTGTGGGGGGTGGGCTCCTATGTGAGTGAAAACATCAGAAAAGCTGCATTAGCTATGTTTCATTCCAACACACACACACAATGCGACTGTAGCAGTGTGATCTATGGGCCATGAAACACAATCCAAATTACAACACAGTGGGAATGGATGGGAACGCCCAGGGCATGAGATCTACAGTACAGAGGAGTTGCTGTGTTGGGAGGGTGCAGAAGTGTGTGAGGGGAAAAAAGAGAGAGAGGGAGAAAACATTTTTGAGAATAGCAGGCAGTAGAAGCTGGTAATTTGTTAAAATGAGAGTTTTATTAAATTTATTTGTCAGCAGGGGAGGCGAAGAGGTCCTGAATAAAAGATGGAGTAGTGTGGAGCGCTTCAGAGTATTTATGTGTCGGCAGCTTCGTCACAAGGCGAGCCTCAGGACAAGAATATATGTGTGCTGTTTGAACGGGTGGAACCAAATGAGGGGCTTCAGGCTCAGGACCGTACTCATTAGTCCTGTGTGTATCTGCAGTGTGTGCTTGTGTCTGTGGTATCCCAAAAACACAAATAAGTGTGAGGAAAGTGTGAGGGGCCTCTGCTGAGTCATACATGGATATGTTTGGATACTGTAAGCTGAAAAATGGTCGGTGTAGACGGAGAATACAGAAGCTGCTGCTGTAGGGGGCAGAATGAGCAGTCATTTTAGCCTGTATGTGGCTGTTTTTTTTAAAAGCAGATTTGTGTGTTGTCAAAGACCAAATATGCATACTTGTGTTAATAGACGTAAAAAGAAATATCCCACTGTACTGTCTGGTATAGAAATGATGCCTTCCTCATGAGTGTAGTGGAGCAATACTGTCATCAGTGAACACCCCGCAGCGTAGCGGCGTTATTCAGTCGGAAAATCCTCAGTAATATAGTAGTGACTGAGTTAGGGTGGATCTAGTGCTGCGTCACTCTGCTGTCCAACCGTGCCAAAGTAAGGGTCATGCCAGGGAGAGGATTTAAAAAGCAGAATGCTGCAGCTATAGAAGAAGACTGCAAAAGGAAGTGAACACAGATGTACAGACGAGATGTCTTCTTCTCTCTAACCTTCATGCCACAGTTTATTTGTAAAGATCTCTGCTGAAATCTCTTCTGCCTCTTCAGTGCTTCTCTGTAGAGACAGAACACATGTAGACATTGGGTTTTTACCAAACTACAGGCATTTTGGACAGGAAAAAGACTTCTGCCAATAAATGATACAACTCAATGGCTGCACAACACAAATATGCATATTCAGCAGTTTTTAGGGGACTTTTTGTTTTTTATATGTGGTTTGGAGCCAGTGCAGTTGGGCAGAGCCGTGATATCCCACAGAGCTTTTTACTTGCCACAGTATGTTGATGTTATTAATTTGGGGCTATGAAGTGAAGCCAGCTAGTGAGATATTGACACTTGTCTTGAATTTGATGTGGGAGTTGATGGTCTCCAGACAATGACAAATCCTTCACGGCTGTCATAACGTTATTTATTTACAAAATAATGGTGTTTGCATATGGATCAGTGCATTTGCTAAGCTTATGTTTTATAGCCTTTATTCTTTTGAAGAGAGCTCTTATTGCAACTGTGCAATAGAGCTTTTAGGATTTCTATAGACTGCTTGTATTCAAAGGATATTTATTATTTGGCAGCAGCTTGTCAGTTGAGGACATGTTAGGGTATGAGCAGGGTGGATGCAAGAATCCTTAAGTTAACTTTGAAACCCTGTCCACACATTTTAAAACCTAATCGCCACTTTGAGTTCAAACCCGCTACATCAGCAACACATTTACTTTACACTGACTGTAAGAAAGCACGACAAAACAGTCTTAGGTTGTGATACCTCTATGGCATACTAAACTATGACAATGTGATAACACCATAATGCAGTACATAACAAAGAATATATGTGTATATATATGTGTATATATATAATATATATATATATATATATATGTGTGTGTGTGTGTATACATATATATATATATATATATTCGGCCGCTTGTACTCGCAATCTCATTCTTTCGGTCACTACCCAGAGCTCGTGACCATAGGTGAGGGTTGGAACGTAGATCGACTGGTAAATTGAGAGCTTAGCTTTCTGGCTAAGTTCCCTCTTCACTACAACGGACCGGCTAAGCGCCTGCATCACTGCTGACGCCGCCCCAATCGGCCTGTCAATCTCCCGCTCCATCCTACCCTCACTCGTGAACAAGATCCCGAGATACTTAAACTCCTCCACCTGAGGAAGGACCTCCCCCCTGACCTGGAGTGGGCAATCCACCCTTTTCCGGCTGAGGACCATGGCCTCAGACTTGGAGGTGCTGATTCTCATCCCAGCCGCTTTACACTCGGCTGCGAACCGCCCCAGCGGGAGCTGGAGGTCACTGTTCGATGGAGCTAGGAGGACCACGTCATCCACAAAAAGCAGGGATGAGATCCTCCCGTCACCGAGCCTGACACCCTCCACCACTCGGCTGCGCCTAGAAATTCTGTCCATAAAAGTTATGAACAGAACCGGTGACAAAGGGCAGCCCTGGCGGAGTCCAACCCTCACCGGGAACAGGTCCGACTTACTGCCAGCCACGCCAACCAGACTCATGCTCCTTCGGTACAGGGACTGGATGGCCCTTAGCAAGGGGCCACCAACCCCATACTCCCGGAGCACCCCCACAGGATGCCCCTGGGGACACGGTCGTAAGCCTTCTCCAAATCCACAAAACACATGTGGACTGGTTGGGCAAACTCCCATGCCCCCCTCCAGCACCGGTTCCGTGTCCAGGACGAAAACCACATTGCTCATCCTCAATCTGAGGTTCAACTATCGACCGGACCCTCTTCTCCAGCACCCTGGAGTAGACCTTACCGGGTAGGCTGAGGAGTGTGATCCCCCTGTAGTTGGAACACACCCTCTGGTCCCCTTTCTTGAAGATGGGGACCACCACCCCGGTCTGCCACTCCAGAGGCACTGCCCTCGATGTCCACGCAATGTTGCAGAGGCGTGTCAGCCAGGACAGCCCTACAACATCCAGAGCCTTGAGATATCCAGGACGAATCTCATCCACCCCCGGGGCTCCGCCGCCTCGGAGTTGTTTCACTACCTCAGCAACTTCTGCCCCAGAAATTGGACGACCCGCCCCCGAGACCCCCGTCTCTCTTTCCTCACTGGAATACGTGTTGGTGGGATTGAGGAGCTCCTCAAAGTATTCCTTCCACCACCCAACAATGTCCCCAGTTGACGTCAGCAGCTCCCCGCCCCCACTGTAAACAGTGTGAGCAAGTTGCCGCCTTCCCCCCGAGGCACCGGACGGTTTGCCAGAACCTCTTTGGAGCCGATCGATAATCTTCCTCCATGGCCTCACCAAACTCCTCCCACGCCCGAGTTTTTGCCTCAACGACTGCTGCCGCTGCGCTCCGCTTGGCCCGCTGGTACCTGTCAGCTGCTTCCGGAGACCCACAGACCAACCATGCCCTGTAGGCCTCCTTCTTCAGCCTGACGGCTCCCCTCACCTCTGGTGTCCACCAGCGGGTTCGGGGATTACCGAAGTCCCCCAGCAGAACAATGGAGTCCCCGGTCGGGGCACTGTCCAGCACCCGTCCCAGGGACTCCAAAAAGGGTGGGTACTCTGAACTGTTGTTCGGTGCATAAGCACAGACAACAGTCAACCCTTTCGTCTACCGGGGTAAACCCCAACGTACAGGCAGAGAGTCTGGGGGCTATCAGAAAGCCCACCCCGGCCGTCCGCCTCTCACCCGGAGCAACTCCAGCGAAGGAGAGAGTCCAACCCCTCTCAAAGACTAGGGTTCCAGAGCCGGAACTATGTGTCGAGGTGAGGCCGACTATATCTAACCGGTAGCGCTCAACCTCTTCCACAAGCTCCGGCTCCTTCCCCGCCAGAGAGGTGACATTCCATGTCCCAAGAGCCAACTTCTGTAACCGAGGATCGGACCGCCAAGGCCCCCGCCTTGGCGGTCTGATCCCTCTGTGGGTGGTGGGCCTGCAGGGGGACGAGCCCATGTAGCCGGTTCGGGCTGGGCCCGGCCGGACCCCATGGGCGAAGGCCCGACCACCGGGCGCTTGCCCACGGACCCCAACCCCAGGCCTGGCTCCAGGACGGGGCCCCGGTAACCCTCCAGGCCGGGTACACGTGTCCTTGTTTGTATCCATCATGAAGGGTCTTTTGAACCGTTCTTCGTCTGACCCTTCGCCCAGAACCAATCTGCCATGGGAAACCCTACCAGGGGCAAAATGCCCCCGACAGCATAGCTCCTAGGGTCATTAGGGCACTCAAACTCCTCCACCACGATAAGGTGACGGTTCTCGGAGGACCATATCGTATGTCGTAAAAAGTAATAGTATAGCCTGTCATAAAAATTCAAAGTATAGTTTGTCACTAAAAGTCTAGTATGCCATAAGAAGTATTTTAATCAGCAGAGTTTTTTATAATAAGAAGAATATTAATTAACGTGCACATTAGAATGAAAAATGTGGAAAGTCTTTGGCGATTAGACCCCATAGAGATGGTATGATTTAAGGACAGTGATGAATCCATAGTTGAATAGGTAACCCCCCTTAAACACTTAAAAACAAAGTGTCATACTACACCCATGGCTTTTTATGACAGACTACACTGACTTTTACTGACATACTATGACTTATTGACAGACTACACTATGACTTTAAGTGACAGACTACACTATGACTTTTACTGACAGACTACAGTTTGACTTTTAGTGACATGCTATGACTTTTACTGACATACTATGACTTATTGACAGACTACACTATGACTTTAAGTGACAGACTACACTATGACTTTTACTGACAGACTACAGTTTGACTTTTAGTGACATGCTATGACTTTTACTGACAGACTACACTATGACTTTAAGTAACATGCTATGACTTTTAGTGACATGCTATGACTTTTACTGACAGACTACAGTTTGACTTTAAGTGACATACTATGACTTTAGTGACATACTATGACTTACTGACATACTACACTATGACTTTTAGTGACATGCTATGACTTATTGACATACTACACTATGACTTTTAGTGACAGACTACAGTTTGACTTTAAGTGACATGCTATGACTTTTAGTGACATGCTATGACTTTTAGTGACATACTATGAATTATTGACATACTACACTATGACTTTTACTGACAGACTACAGTTTGACTTCAAGTGACATGCTATGACTTTTAGTGACATACTATGACTATGTCATAATTTAGTATGTCACTAAAAGTCATAGTAAAGCATGTCACTAGAAGTCATAGTATAAAATGCAGTAAAAAGTCATAATTTAGTACGTCATAGCATAATGTCGTAAAGGTCAGTGTAGTCCTTCACTAAAAGTCATAGTATGTCATTAAAAGTCACGGTGTAGCCTGTCACTTAAAGTCATATGTCCTAAAAGTCATAGTATTGTATGTCACTAATAGTCATAGTAGTCTGTCACTAAAAGTCATAGTATACCATGCCACTTAAAATCACAGTAAAGTATGTCATAAAAAGTCGTTGTCCGAGACAGATCAGTTGCCATTACATACCATGATGTAGTTGGTGAGGATGCCGTCAATGATACAGCAGTAGTTTAGCTATATCTGAGGAGACACAGAGACAAAAAAGTTATAAAAACAGTCATAGTATATGTAACCAAAGGATGTGATAACAAACGTTGTAGTTTAGACATAAAACCTAAAGTCATACTACAGTATGCCATAATTTTTTTTTAAAAAAAATGCCTTATATAGTATAGCTGTAAAGTTTCTTATACAAAAGTCATAGTACAGTATTAAACAAATAATTAAATGTATGTGATAAAAATGTCATGAAGGATATCGTAAGACTATAAATTAACTATACAGAATGTCACTGTGTGCCTTCTCATGCAAACTGAAGCATTTTATCTCTTTGGACAAATATATATATTGAAAACAAGCTACCTAATTTAATACCTCAAAACATAGTGCTCAAGGCTTGTAAATACTTTTAAGAGCCCTAATTGTTGCTAAATTGATTTCTCAACTTTTAATATTTTTTAGAAGACTCTGTAGACACCCTCATAAAAAACTGAGGTTAACATAACATCATTATTCCCTAAAAGCCCACAGTCGAACACTTAATGAACATTAAAGGTTTGTTTTTATGTACTGCATCATAAATTATTATTTTTAATGAATCTTAAAACAGGGTTTACTCAAAATACAAGTTTTGCCTGAGACCAGCACCTTGCCTTTACTGCGTGCAGTTTTGCAGGTAAGATGTGAATGAAATGCAGTTCAGCTGTCTGCACTGCACTACAATAGAGAGCTGTACTGATTAAAATCAAACTGTATCTGTCCATGTTAGCTTTTAGCAAACATGCTTGAAAAAATCTTAAAATATAGGAAAGTTCATTATCTTTAGTGCTGTAAAGAAGAAGTAAAGTCTTGGGCTATCACTGAATGGTGTTGGAAATAGCCTCACACAACTTTTTCAAAACACAAGATTTTAGTTTCATAAATACAAACTTTTCCCTGAAACAAGCACACCTGGTCGTTACACTAACAGTCCCTTGCTAGCAGCTCCCTACAACTGCCCTGTGGCGCTGAACAGGTGTTGACGCGTGTGTGACCTCTGTGCAAAGGCTACACGCAACACCCACCTGCCTTTTCCTTTGCTCACTTTGCTCTGTAGACTTGCATCCTGGCAGATCCGTCTTCCTCACACATGCCCAGAATTATCCAGCCAAACACCAGGTCTGTCCTCGAGCGGCTGCAGCTACAGGAATTTAATATGTAAATAAGCAGCTTTAATTAACATAGTTGATAGGGGCAACACAGCTGCTGCCGACAGTGACTGATTACTCTTACCTCGATACAGTGCGTGTGATTGTGTTCTGTTGTGCTGTTCAAGGTTGAAATCTAAGGCCTGTCGGTGTTTGCTATGATTTTATTTCAGTCATATTACTATGCAGCTCACCTGTTGCCTCTGTGCTGCATGTATTAGCTAAACGTCTCCAAAAAAACTGCAGTAAACCACTGTAATGAGCTCCAAGGAAACAGCATCACTATCTATGTTAAAACACTGGGTGGATTCTGTTTACCAGTTTCTCTAACAATGTTCTCAGAAGCAAACATTTTCCTAACAAGTGTTTGTTATGTTGTATTCCTTCCTGTCTGTTTTAATAGGTACTACTCAGACATTGGGAAGATGCCAGCGATCAGCGACCAGGACATGAATGCCTACTTGGCAGAACAGTCACGGATGCACATGAACGAGTTCAACTCCATGAGCTCTCTCAGTGAGATTTACTCCTATGTGGGCAAATACACTGAGGAGGTATGTACTCCTGCTGCACCTCTGTCATCATTATCTAAGATTTAGTGCAATTTAGACACATTAATGGATTTTTTTGTTTTATAGAGTTAAAGGAATATTTCACTGAAAATCAGTCTTACATAATCTACAGTTACTGTGCTTTACATAATGGTAGACTAAGAACATAATTACAAAAGGCTATGTCAGTTTTTTCCCTAACAATTACCTCAATTGATGCTCTATTTCCTGTCATGATTTGACGCCATGGTTAGGTGATTGTGTAGTTTATTTAGCTGTGTTGTGGAGAAACTAAAGTAGAGAAGGAGATAACTATGTAGTACGAGTTCGAGAAAGGGCTGGGTGATCAATCAAATTTTATTTTCAGTTATGATTTTGGCTTCCGGCTATGATTAAAACAAGATAATTGGAGAAACTATAAAACTACAATGCTCTTGTTTTTATGTATTACAAATCCAGTGCAGTGCTGCCCACTTAGACAACTTTTTTGCTAGATTTATTGACTTCTCTGACCTTCTAATGACTTTAATTCTAAAAATAAGCCGCTGCCACCGTAGCCGCTGCAGGTGCAGCCTATTGAGCTCTCAATACGTTACAAGGCGGAGCTCTTAGGATGGCTGTTGACATTTCATTTACGACGACATCATCAGAATGTGTCGATGAACAGGACAAAAACAGACTGGAGGCACGTCCGTCTCCCCACAGTGTTCGGGCAGCTTTCCACTACTGAGTCAGACTGTGCCAAACTAATAACTAATGCTATGGAGTGTTTATCACTGCAGATATTTGACTAACACTGCATATACTATGTGTCGTAGAGAATACTGAATTAAAGTTTTGCTGCAATGTGTTAGTAATGCCTGGTTTGTATAAACGGTAACAACAAGCTGTACTTCAGGGGTTATCAAGGTCAGGTTAGAGTCTGAGGATGGAGCATTACATTACAATACATTACTGACAGTTGTTATTTTTTTGTCTTTTTGACAATTTACCAGTGTTGAAGTGCCTTAATGGTAAGACTTATGTCCAATGAGCCACCTACAGTTGAATTATATGTTTGGGCCGGTGCCCACATAGCGGTGGAAGGGCACTTGGGAGCATTTCATGCCATCGCTTCATTAAAAAAAATGGTCCCAGCACTTTTTTAATGACGCTGTTCCTATGACAACAATAGTTCAGTCAGTGTCTCGTCATGTTTAGGGGGCATGGTGAGGGCAATGGGGGATGTCCTTTCCCTCAGCCTGTAAATGCTGGGAAAGTGTGGTTTTTAAACTCACATAAGAGACACTGTCACATTTACTGTAGACTGTTGACACTATGACGTAATTGACTAACATGTTTTAGTGAATTCCATGTATGTTTCACGACAGTACAGCAGCGCTAACGTTACTTAACACCATTAGCATTAGCCTATGTTTTGACGACGGCTAAACAATCTAACACTGTTTAAATAAAGCGTGAGATCTTTTTTGTTTAACTAGAACAGCCCCATAATATACTGCTGGAAAAAGTTAATAAATCGCAATGTATTTTATCGTAATATAGCATATGGCAACATATTTAAAATCGCAATAATATTGTATTGTGACACCAGGGCCTTTCTGAAAAGTTTAGATTTTCAAGTAGAAGCCCTCAGAGTGGCTTCAGAATAAAGCTTGAGGGCTTTGAAAAAAGACGCTGGGCACAGTTCTTTTTCTGCATATGTTCTGTCCTCGTTGGGAACAACTGAAAATGGATGCTGGCATTTAGAAAAAAACGCTACGTGAACACAGGCCCTTAAAATTACATTTTTGGTTTCTTTGTTTTTTAAAGTTCAATACATGCATGATGTTTAAATGAGTAATCACGTTAAACAATTGTGATCTCAATACTGACCAAAATGATGATTATGATTTGTTGCCGTATCAAGCAGCCCTAGTTTTACAAAACTCTATCTACGATTTAATACTTTTTTTTTTTTATGGTAACTTGGGGTTGCCGTTGGTATCCACAGTCACAGCTGCATATCCAGGGTTACATAAGCTGTTGTCCTTCACAAGCAGGAAGCTACAGTCTTTTCAAAGTCGTCTTTCAAGTTAACAGAGCATTTGATGTTCAAAAGACAACTTTTCAGTGGAAGATTCCTTTAACTGTTTTAGACACATTTTGTCAGCACACTCAGCAGTGATACATCAGTGCAGTTACTAGAGTAAATACTTTCTGCTGTAATGTTTCCGTAAGAAAATACATAGGAGCATCAAGTTTTTGCCTTTGATTAGTTATCAGGATTTACCAGATTTGAAGTGATGATTTTGTCATGTTGAGTAACGTGTGTGTGTTTACCTCACTGTCCTGCCGGCAGATTGTGTGTTCACTGGAGCAGGACGATGCAGCCCGGAAACAGAGGCTGGCCTTCAAGCTGGAGCAGGTTGTGGCCTTCATGAGTCTGGAGAGCTGAGGACCGCACTTCCCAGGGCGCACTGGGAAAAGACCCCATCAGAAACCGAGCCGTGCCTGAGCGAAGACCTGTCCCCATCTTTTTCATCATGTGACTTCCTCCCTCCGCCTTTCAAAGATGATGACTTCTTCCTTGACCTTTTTTCTGCTTCCTCTTCCCTGAGAAATATTTTTCTTTTCCTCATCCACTCTGCTGCATAGACTAGTTTACCTGAAGATATCGGAAGGGTGGTTCGGGGCTGAGGTCGGCATTTCCCACAATGCAATGCGGGGGATCCCTCAGCTTCACCACAGGGAGAGCTTCAAGGGGCGATTGCTTGAAAGCTGGCCATATTGGCATACTTCAGTCCCCCTGCTGGAAGACAAGAGGGGAAAAACATTTTTATGTTGCCTTCAAGAATTTACACTGATAAGTAATTCTTTAAAAACCACAATGTTGGGTGTCCATTTTGTTGAGAACTTTTTTCAAAAATAGGATAGTTAAAGTAAAACCATCTCTAGAGTCCAGTTTATTGTAGTTCTATATTCAATGTATGGAATCAAGAGGAAACATCAACAATGATGACTGCAAGCCAAATGAACACCTCTGAAGAAAAATTAATGCAAGGATGGTTTGCCAAGTTTACACTGTACCTACAAGTGAAGCATACATATCTGCGAAATTTGGGGCGAGTCCAGGCAAACCTAGAATGTTCTTGTGTTCTTTCAATGTAGCTGGAGTTGTATTTAAGAAAAAGACTGATGAGGGGTAGGGAAGGATTAGTGCTTCTCTGAACTTTTCCTTTATCGAAATGTGACTGACACTAAAACTTTACAAACCAGAGCATCCCCGATCTATACCCCTTTGCAACATTCGCACATTGTTCCCCGCCCAGCATACATTTACTTCAAAGAAAACGCTCATGATTTCTGCTTTCATCTGGCTTATGTGGCTACTGCAAAATTAACCTATTAGACAAAACCCTGGAGGCCCCCCGACCCAAGTTGGATCCTCTGTAAGAAGCACACAACCAACCCTGGAAGACAGTGTTTTGACTGCTAATCCAAACACCAGAAGCAGTCTTTGTCTGGCTCACGCCACTTCCAATCTTGTGTCGCCAACGCGACAGTCTATCAAAGCACACATACATACACGCACAGATACACACACAATCAGCAGTTGCACAAGATCCTGACTGCCCAGATATCTACGCCAACCCTGGAGGAGGTAAAGGGAAAAGCTGACTGAAATGTACTGGGTAAGAAACTGCTTGAACATTTTAAAAGAAGAAGAACGATTCAATACAGTGTAGCCAGAGACGGCTGACTGCTCCCTGAAGGGGCCCTGTTGTGAGAGTAGCACTTCTTTCCCAGGATGTTCTTATTTAAAGACTTTTGTGTGGAAAAATCAAACAAGATGGACTTAGTCGGTCAGCCAAAAACCAAAGGAGCTTGAAATTTTCAAAACGGTCAAAAATGTATTTGTAAAGTGCCACTGAGGAACTGACAAAAAAAGGACGATGTAAAAGACAACCACTTCTAGGACAAAAAAAAATTATTGTGACTGGAACTTTAACAAACCTGTGTGATTTTTCTGACCTCAGTGTGTCGAGGTGAGAGGCTCTGTGGGCGAGGTGATCCGATCCTCCTTCCTCTTTCCATCGTCCCCGGTCTCTCCGGCTCTCGGCACACCGTTCACCCTTGTGTCCGGCTCCTGACTTGCCAGTTTTCTTTTCTGTTTTGCACAAGCGTTGGAGACGGTAGCTAGTTGCATACGGCAAAACCCCAACTCTTGAGTGTGTAACTGTTGAGGCGCTCTTGTCTGTATTAGTGTAGTTGTCCTCAGTGGCGGCAGGGGGCGGCCTTCTCCAAGCCTCAAAAGAAAAGAGAAAAAAGAAAAAAAAAATCTGATAAAGCAGAGCAGGAACAGAAACAAGACGTGAGCATCATGGCAGGATAAACAGAAAGCGATAGACTTTAAAAAGTAGATACGACTTGTTGGAGAGAGCGATTGAAAGAGAGATGATGGAGGCGCCCTCCGTACCTTTTGACCTCTGCCCTTTCTTTTGCCTTGACAACGTGCCCCATGTGGTGATGTGAATGTGTGAAGACCGCCCTAGGTCCACCTTGGGTCCTTTATTGGCTTTTTAAGCGCATGTAAAACGTAAACAATTTAAGAAACTTATTTAAAAAAAAAGTGAAAAATAAGAAAATTAAGCCTTGCAATGATGATGTGGATGTGTTCTTTTATCTTTCTTTTGCTTGGAAGAATCGAGATGGAAAAAGTGGATTGTTCATGTAATAAAAACTATAACTTTCGTTTAAGGTGGAACCTTTATCCAGCTCAACCCCCACTGCAGAACCTCATGCCCATGGTTTTTGTGAAGTGTTAGATGCTAAATAAAACAGATATTATATACCCTTGCATGTTGACCTATTTGGATGGTATGAAATGGAACTGCCTTGCTCAAAGATATTTATATACTTCTACTAGTACTTTAAAGTCATTCAAAAGCCAACTGTTCGTTTTAAGATTATGGATCTCACATAAAGACAACATCGACTCTGTTTTGAATTCCTCGTTGCTCCATTACAGGCCGTCAGTGTTTTGTGACAGCTGTGTCTTTCAGTTTTGGTACACAGAAGACGCAAGTCGAGTCTTGCTCTGTCTTTGCTGCTATTACATCTTGTTTTGAGAGTCGTCTGCTGCATTACATTGATTATTCCATCATGATAATTGCTTACATTTTTCTTAATCTCCATCAGTTGAGGCCAGAACAGAAACATTTTGAGTTGTAAAGCTGTTTTTCAGATAATTGAAGATGGCCACTTAAGAAAGCAAACAGATGACGAAGGTTCATTTCATAAGAAGCAACAAAAGACTGCATCAGTTTGCTGCCGTATGTCACAAAATAAAAATGTTCTCATCCCTTTTTTAGAAGAAGCAGTGTATACATGTGATTTATCACACAGATAAACAACTTTCTAACAAGAGAGGCACATTAGGCTTGATAGTAGACTTATGTTTAATGCTGAGTTTGGCAAGTGACTGTTTCTTTCTTAGCCCTTGTGTCAAATGTATGTGAGATATCCAAGTCCATTAGTTCCTGTCTGCAGCTATACAGTATGATGAATGTCTGTTGTTTGAACTCGGAGGGGTACATTCACAAGGCGTTTGCTGGACATGTTATGTAGTAAACATATCAAACCTATCTGTTATTGGACAATGAGGGGAATAGGAATTGACTTAGCAACTTTATATTAATTCACGTAAAGCTGGCATTGATATTGAAAGAAACCGAAACCACATAATTTCAAAGAAGCCCTGTCATTCATGTAGCCAATGTATTCTCTGTCTAGACACCCAAAGTTTCCCCTCACGGCCGTGTGTTAATAAATAACACAAGGTGAGAGTCCTGGACTGTCCTTGTGAATCTGCCCCCCAGTTGAACATCCTGTCTTTCATTTCTCCCCGTCCCCCATCCCTCCCCCTGCAACAAAGGTCGCCTGCTAGAAGCCACCTTGTGTTGCAACGTCCACAGATAAAGTTTCCACCTTCAAACGTTTTGTAGGAACTAAAAATGTCCTCCTAGCTCAGTGTTATAGCAGGTGTTACAGAAACATGCTAGAAAAGACTTTTACTAGACCATATTTGAAAGATAAAGAGTATCTTATCGAGAGATAAAAACGAAACCTGGGGGATATAAGGCGAGCTTCTCTAACTTTGTTATAATTAATTGTATACCTGTGTATGTAAATATAATGCATTCCTATTTTGCAGTCAAGAACAAAATACTATTTGTAATATAGAATAAACTTTATTATGAAACCAAGCATCTCTTGATTGTTTCTGCCTGTTTGTTTCAGTTTGCAGACCGCAGCAGTCCTGTCAGAGGCTAATCAACACTAACTACATTTGAATCACACCCGCGGTGACAATCAAAGTTTATAGGTCCAGTGTGAAGGAGTCAGGGGGATATATTGGTGGGAAAGGAATTTAAGTGTTTTCTTTAGTGTATAATCACCTGATAATAAGAATTGTTGTGTGTCGGACAAACCAAACACTGGCTCAAGAGATCTAGAGAGGGTCATTCATGTTTTTGCCTCGACAATGTCGTGAGCATTCCCTCTGCAACGACTCAAACAGCATCTGGGAAACACAGATTTCTAGCATGAAATGCCTTGTTCAGTGTTTTTACCGGTTTAAATCACCAGGTCTGTTTGTTTTGAGGAAGCGGAGACCACTGCAGATAATTCAGTTTCCGGTAAAAACCTCCCAAACACCTGGATCTTAAGTTATAAGAGAAAAAAGCTGAGCACACATCAGCAGCTACTGGGCTGGCATCCTGTCTGCAATGAGCCGAACAGCATTGGAGAACACTAATTTTTAACGTGAAATTACTTTATTCAACGTTTTCACTGGTTTAAATCACCAGGTCTGTTTGTTTTGAAGAGGAAGAGACCTCTGTGAATAATTCGGCTCACGGTAAAAACCTCCTGAACCTCTGGACCTTAAGCTATAAAAGAAAAAAGCTGAGCACACATCAGCAGTTGCTGGGCTAGTGCCCCGTCTGCAATCAGCCGAACAGCATTGGGAGAAATGCTGATTTAAAACGTGTAACCGTGTTTAGTGTTTTTACTGGTTTAAATCACCACAGCTGTATGATTTGAGGAAGCAGAGACTTCTGCAGATAATTCAGCTCCTGGTAAAAACCTGAACATCAGAGCCCATATTCACAAAGAATCCTAAGACTAAAAGTAGCTCTTAGTGACGTCATTTTAAGAAAAATCTTAGAACTCCTCGAATTCTAAGATTTTTCTTAGAATTTTCCCTTGGTAAGATTAAAGTTATTCACAAAGCATCTTAGGCCTTAAGAGAGCTCCTAAGGTGAAAAACTGTTAAGAGAAGGAAGGAGAACTTTTAAGAAGCCTAAGAGTGTCTTAAACAGAGAAGATGGCAGAAAGACAGAGAGGATGGAGAGATATTCTCCGTATATTGAACGACAGTGATTTAATAAGACGCTACCGGCTTGATCGTGCAGGGATAATGTTTGTGGTTGACCTCATCAGGGATGAGCTTACTTTTCCCACCCAGTGTAGTAACGCAATAACGCCCGCTTTGGATTGCAGCATGTACCAGCGCTTCTCACACTCATCGCTTGTGTGTAAAAGGAGAGGGAATGACGCATTGATTTGTCGGGCAATGCGCTCCCAAGTCTACCTCTTCCCTTGTGCCGTGATCCCGGGACCGAATTTCCCTCTTAAAACTCCTTTGTTCTCCTCCACGAGCTGTGCCAACAGGCACTGCTCTTCTGTCCAGTTCGGCTTTCTCGTTCTTTTTTTTTTTCTCCATTTCGTTCGTTGTTTTAGTCATTCTGCCAAATCAAACTGCTTTTTACAAGGAGGCCAGCAATCACAGTAATTGCTGACAGCTGAGTCTGAGTCCACCATTAATATCAAATAGATTAAGTAGTAAAATTACCAGCATGGCGAGTAAACAGAACAATAAACAAATCAATATAATAATCGGAATGTGAATGAGGTGCGTTCAAACATTTTGAAGCTGTGTAAAAATTAATTTAATTTTGCTGAGTTTCATCATCATGACATAAAATTATTTTCACAATTACACATTTCTTAATACAGTCTAAGTTCTATGATCAGTTGATTTCACTGTCCATTCATTACTAGGAGCGCATTTGTTTTTCTTTTTTTTTTTTCTTTATTCCTTTTTGTAACAACCAATCACAGCTTTTAAAAGACTGCGTCATACCTAGCAACGGGGTCAACCACACCTCCTCACTAAGATAAAAGTTTCTGTCCCCTCCTTGCTCAGAGTTGCTCTCAGAAACTTCCTGAATCACTCTAAAGCTAAGATTCCTTGCTAGGAATTTTTAGGCTAAGTTAGGAGCTCTCTGAAAGGACTCTGAGAATCTTCGTGAATACGGGCCCTGAATCTTAAGTTATGAGAGAAAAAAGCTGAGCACACATTAGGAGGTGCTGGGCTAGTGCCCTGTCTGCAATGAGCCTCACAGCATTGGAGAAACGCTGATCTAAAAACTTATTTGTTCGGTCTTTTTACTAGTTTAAATCACCACAGTGGTTTGTTTTGAAGTGGAAGAGACCTCTGTGGATAACTCTGCTCCCGTTAAAAACCACCTGAATGTCTGGATTTTAAGTTATAAGAGAAATAAGGTAAACACAGATTAGCAGGTGCTGTGCTAGCGCCCTGTCAGCCCTGGGGAAACACTGATTTGAAATGTGAAACTGCTTTGTTTCATGTTTTTACTGGTTTTATTCACCTGGGGTCTCATTTATAAACATTGCGTACGCACAAAACGAGGCCTGAAAGAGGCATAGGCCACTTCCCACGCAAAAGTTGTGGTCTGATTTGTGAGTTGATCGGTGAAACTTTGACCCAGGCTTTGTAATATTTTGGAGACAAATAATTGGTGACATGGGTGGTGAGCTGGAAGCCTGATTGAAGAAATTTTCAAATATTAGTACATTTTTAGTATGGATCCTTTACATTGTTTTTCAAATGAGACCCCTAGTCCGTGTGTCTTCAAGAGGAGGAGACCTCTGCGGATAATATGGCTCCTGGTAAGAACTTCCTGTACAATAAACACAAAAGGAATCCTAACCAGTTTATACTTGGCACATGGGAAAAGTTTCACCTGGTTGCAATCTGCAATCCACCTGGATGCCACTAAATCCTACACACTGCTCCTGTAAGTTAACAAAGAAATATTTACCTTCTGTAACCAGAAATACTGTGCTCTGAATCTAAAAGTACAATGAGCCAGATTTAGACCTTGACATGCCCCTCACCCCGCTGGGAAACACTCAGCCTCCTGCAAGATGCACATTTGATGATAAATATTTAAAGATCCAGTTGACCTCCGAGACCTCTTCACAGGCTAACTGTGGGTGGAGCTACACCGACAGTTTGCTGAATTCAAAAATCATAAATGAGTGAGCTGTTCTGCTCTAACAGGTGAAGCACAGCCAACACAGGAGGCTTGAAGACACAGCTCCAAGATCAGGTACAGTCTGAAAGCACCAGTGTGGGTGTAAAAGGCATTACAAGGGCTTTAAATTAAATGGTGTGACCATATTTCCTGACTAACAAAAGCCCAGGCCTTATGCTACCTACTCAGTGTTGAATAAAACCTGAAGCAGGGGCCAGTGACAAATAAAACACGATAATAGCTCTGAATTCCTGGAATGCTCTCGCACATACAGACTACACTCTGTCTCGACAAATAGCTCTAATTTTCCTTTCCATCTTAGTGACAGGTTTCAGCGGATGCTGAGGCCATCTCAGGTCTCACACTGTCTGGTGCCAGACAGAGCAACAAAGAATAAATGAACAAAGATCCATAACAAACAGCTGTTTGGTTCTATGTGCTGTCAACTGTATGCAGAATACACCATAACAAATGCCTCACTGTAACAGCAGAACATACCCATCCCATCAAAGACAGCCCTGTGCTTTTTAGAAGGATGCATATTGGCCCAAATTATTTAAGACTTTAACTATTCAAATTATTCAAATTATGGTTTTATCCAATTAATTATAGGTCTATGGTCTGATTTTCCACATTACCACTGGGGAAGAAACCAAGGTTTGGAATAAATCTGCACTGGAGAAGTCAGTCTCTGAGTGCACACACTGAACAGTTCAATTCTAGACAGGAGTAGCTCAGGGAGTAAATCTCACAATACCATGTTAAACAGCAATAGTCATACTGTTAGCCCACCTCTCTAAGAGCAGAGACAGAAGCTTAGGTCACAGCGATGACATCCAATTCAGTCAAAACCACTGTTATCACAGTGGATGAATTTGTCTTACACAGTGACTTCTCATACTAGGCAAGACTAAGGCAGACTGGCAACAATCTGGTACTAAGATATGTATCACGATACAGGGGTTACAACAATTTAATATATTGCTGTACTGTTAACGAGTTGATATATTGTGATATTTTATCTATTTGAGGAAAACTGTGTGTAGTATAAAAAACACACCAACATACGCTTACATGGATGGATTACTGAACGAGCCTACCGGGCACAGGTAAAATGTCACTTATCAGGAAAAGAGATACCAGGAAGAGACTTAAAATGACAGGAAACAACTACCAAGAGACTCACATCTACAAAAAGGGGAAACAGCCACAAAGAGAGACAAAATGAAGTGACTAAAAAAAGAGCCCAAGAGACACAAAACAACCACAAAAACACTTAAAATTGCTACTAAGAGACACAGAATGATGACTAAGAGACACCAAACAACCAAAGAGAGTCAAAAACCCACAGACTCAAAATAAGCTCTAAGAGACAAAATGACTACAAGGGAACACAAAACAACAACAAAAAAACTAAACAGACTCAAACTAAACAGTCTCAAGAGATCACTAAGAGACACTAAGAGACACAAAATGACCACTAATGCAAGAAGTATACTTGCTGCAGACAACACATGCGCGTTCGTATCATGGTTGCCACGCGTATTTTGCAGTCGTCTGGCGCATAGGCCGCGAGGTAACGTGACCCGTGTGCGAGATGCAATATTGACATGAACACTAGAGGTGCTCGTGCAAAGTAGACCTCTAGAGACCGTGAACGTGAGGTCAGGCCGCTCATACCATCTCCGATGGCGGCGGAGATGACGCCTTTTCCTGTGCCGAGATCTTTAAAGACATAAAATTATAATCTCCTCTTCATCGAGAGTATCCGTGTTTGGAGACCTCTGTGTCTGAATGCTGTGGTCTGCCCCTAGCGGAGACCACCAGTACCAGGTGTTTTGGCTGCGTCGATGAACAACCGT